TCTGATCTCGTGCACCTGCCATTTAACCATGTGAACTTATGATAACGACCCGGCAATAGCCCTTGGATCACAAGCAGAAACTATTTGTCGAACTAGAGTACGTTACCTGGACTCTAGTTCGACACGTACCGAAGGTCGACAGGGGTGATTTCTGGTAAACTTAAGTTGTCGAACTAAATTGCGTGTCGAACTACAGTACGTGAGTCAAAACATTTAAGTACTTGGGGGTCGTTCACATATTACGTTATCATTCTTTTGGAACATTTTTACCCCCCCCCCCCCTCCGTAATCAGTTTTACACATAGCTATTGTGTCAAAATGACACTAGCGTAATCATTCGGAAACCCCCCCTCTCAGCTCATTACGTAATATGTGAACGACCCCTTGTACAACTACAAACGAAGTGCATGGCGTAGTACAAACGAAAGGAACAAGTCCTCCGATATTTAGATACTATTATACTATTACAATATTACAGTTAAGTTTGGGATATTATTATACACGTTAGTAGCTTCATGTGGTTATTGATGGTCGTTCTCTTTCTGAACTATTTACACTGCATATTCAAGTTTTATACATATAAAACATATTTAACTCCACATGCAGAAGAATGTACTCTTAAGTACCGCTACACTGGGTACTGGGTAGCCGTTTTAAACTTAAACGATTTGTTTACCAGATCTGAAATGCTTATTTTGTTATACTGCGATACGTCAATTAATATCATTGTTCGGTGATTGCAGACTGTTATACATAACATTTACATGTAAATTTTCTACACTATTTAATTTTCCCAACTCTAAGAAATTCTTATTTTTGTTCAAATGAGGATTGAGGGCGTGATTTACGAAACTGGTTCCGTGAAACAGCGACAAATAGTAATGTTTTAAACGTCAAGGTACTGTATTCTGCCGACTGTCGATTAGCTGGGCGGCGCTCAGCCTGTCATTCCGCCGAATCTTTATTCTATGATTATGAACATAAATATAATACTAATAGCCTGGGGTCCCCAGGTAAACAATGTGTAACAAGTGGAAATATAGACTGTCAAGTATTTATGTCGCAACATGTTCGCGATCATTTCCATTTGTTTAATTTTACTGACAATCCTTGAGTTTCTTGAACCAATAAATCATTAAAAATGTATGTTTTATCAAATGATAGAAGTTAATTTTTATATCAAGCCAGTTTTAAAGTTTTATCCAGATTTACCAATTCATTCTGTCGATCGAAATAATTAAAGTTGCTTCGAAGAGAACTTATTAATCAAATTAGAGGATTATCTTATATATTAATCAAATTTTAATTTGCAGAATGATTTGAAAAAGGTGAGTAACAGGTCGAATTTTATTAATATATTATTGGTGTTGTTTTGTACATATTATCATGAAACGGATCTTTCGCCCGCCGATTTGATTTTTTTCAATTGTTCGAATTATATTATATACATATTTACTATTGTGGGACATGAATTGATGTAAATAGTAAATTTATTTCATTGCAAAGCTTTAACTTGGATTGGTTATTATCTTAATATAAAATTGACATTCTGCAACATAATAATATTTACTTATATTATTATTAGCGCGCAGTTTGAGTACTTGAGTAGTGAAACGAACATTTTTGTCAAAACTGGTCAAATATATTGAACACGAACATTATTTTTGACATGATTTGACAAAATCGATGGTATGGTTAGAAATTCACAATCAACAATATTTTAAATATCCCGAGAGATCAGATACCGGGTTCAATGATCAAATTCAAATATCATAATTATCAATACTTAAAATTCGCACAAATAGGCACAGATTAGTAATTAATATTCACATAAACTTTCTGTGCACAAATAGGAAATCGTCATGAGAAATATTAGATAAAAACACCGAAAGGGATTAATACAAGATTTAACGAACTTAAATTGAAATGTCATTATTGAGGTCAAGGGATACCCCTACGAAATTGTAGTCTAGAGTATTCAAACTGTAAGTCTGATTCCAAAAATCGATTCTATCCTGCAATCACTCAGCCAGACAAGGATACATATTTGCCACTTAATTGCTCTCAAATCTAACACAAACTCATGGATACCTCCTCCGAATTCCCATTAGAAATAAATGTTCTCGTTTCTAGTAAATGCCACATTTAGCTATTGGAGTGGAGGAATTTTAAGTTAATTAATGTCTTCTCTTGAATTTACCTGGCAACATACCAAAATGCTTCAAACCAAGGTTTCGTTAGATGGCGCCTTTTCATCAGGCATGATTCCTCCGTTGTCTTTATCTACAGGGAATAAGTTATACAATATGTCATTTTATTATTATTTATCCATAACTCATTCAACAAGTGTTTTATCAGTTAGATTTTTAGAAAATACAGTCTGTATTGTATTGTGAATATTCAACCAAACTTAAATTAATTTTTTTTAACGGTAATTTTAAAAACCTGCAATGTTCCCAGCGTTCTGTAGTGAGGTCTGGTTAGGCGGTGAGTTGTTTTTCTTGTCAGTTGTTTTCCTTCCTTGGTTATCACCTGCTGAAAATATATTTGATCAGGATTCCTCACTGTGGGTACTGGGTCCATTGCTTGAAAGTTGACGAAATAGTTATAAATAGTTGGATAATTGTTAATTAGTTGACTAACTTACCTGCTGTGGATGTTATGGTCGGGTTCTGTAACGAGACTAGTAGCGAAACAACCGAACGAGTTTTGGAAAGGAGGAATTGCCGGAAACTTCTGATCGTCAGAACGTATATGTCAAAGTTGGCCACAACATTTATCATCAACAAGAAAGTGCAAAATTTAAAGAAGAAAAAAATAATAAATAACTCGGAGGGATCCTTCATGCAGCTGATGGTGATTTGGTAAACAGTGAAAGGTAAGGTAGAGATGCAGTAGACAACAGCAGTGAGGGCTACAGTGAGGTTTCCTTGCCATGGAACACTTCCGCCAACTCGTCTTGCAGATTTCCCTGCATCAACTAGGTACTTCAGTATAGGAACTGTAGTGGTGACGATGATTATGTTTGGAACTATACCGAATATAAAGAATATTATCGGTATTATTTTCTTCCAGGCATCAGAGTTGTAACCGTAGTTACAGTTGTAAACTCGGTAGTCAAAGTGAACATCATCCTTGTCTACAGCGAGGAAGAGTATTGGAAAGATAAGGGTGTAAGCCCAAATTAAGCTGCAAACTTGATGGGCTCGTTTTGTTGACCAACTTGCTGCTCGGAGAGGATATCTGAGTATCAGGAACTTGCTTGTAGTGAGCATTGCGATGAGAGACATGCCAGCTGGGAAAGCGAGGTAGTTGACGTATACATTAACATAGCAAAGTGCTTTTCCTAGGACCCACGAGTTGGCCAGCAAGGAGATAGCAGCAGGAGCAAGGTCAGAGATAGTTTATATTAAATCAGAGACTGCAATATGCTGGATTATTGTGACTAAGATTTTGTTAATTTTGAAAGCGTCCCTCTGGAACGATGCAATTAAGATTAGAGTATCTCCTATTAGGGATGACAGGACGCCAAATAAATAGTAAGACGCCAAAAAGTATCTCTCTGCATTGTTCTGTATGCCGAATTCGATGTCCGAGTAGTTGGTTGAAGTGGTCATCAGAGCTGAGTTAAGAACGGTATATGTCTGTCGGCGGTTACAATAAGGCAATCGCTCTAATTTACGTGTTTTTCAAATCCTACAAAGCTACAATAAACAGCTAACCCCACAATATCAAAGTCCCCCTAAAATTCTCATGACAGTGTGTTTTTATTCACAAAATGGGCTGCTCAAATCATACAAGAAACTATTCACCCGCAAAACCTGGACAATTTCTCATAGAATTGTATTCTGAATTGTATCTTGACAATAATTGATAATTCGCCTGCATATGCACAAATCCAGATTTGTACTTGAGATGGCCTAGTGAGCCAATTGTTGCGTGAAAATCAAGTTCCTTCATATTGGATAGCAGTTGTAGCATGTAGGTTTATAACCTACCAGGACGTGCGCCGAGTTGGAACAAATATTTTACGAGTATCACCCGTTAAGATAGCAGCTGAAGGAGAGTCAAGTGTTTCTATCCGCATAGTTCTGTACCCCTTATATTATTGGATCTCCAGACAGAATCTTTTATCCAGGAGAAATTGAGTGATTTTCAAATAGTATGAGCAGTGAAACGAACTTCTTTGTAAAAACTGGTCATGTTTTATTGGACACTAACATAATCTGAGAAAAATAAAAAATAACAAAAATAAAATATTAATCAATGCGATTTCGAATTGCACAGAAACTGGCTTACCACATGTAGTCAATAGTTATGTACACTATGTATAATTGGCAAAGAAAAATTACCCTTTTATTGTCAAAGATTACAAATCTGAGCCAGGTGTGTTCATTATCACTATCAGGTTTGTCAGCTGCAAATAATTTGCCAAATAAAATAGACTCTTAATTAAGCGAGAGTTCACAAAATATACTACTTGTTACTGTATTGATATATGTATATTTGTGATGGCAACAAAATCAAATATATTATGGCACTAATGCCTAGTCTGTTGTTAGGAGAGAAATCATTGAATCGATTTAATGATCGAATTTAATAGGCAATTTGAGCAGCCTGTCATTCCGCCGAATCTTTATTCGGTGGAATCTCTATTATATGTTTGTGAACATTATAGCCTGGGGTCCCCAGGTAAGTGCTTGTAGATTAGCTAAAATCATAGTGATATTTAAATAAAATGACATTATAAAGTTTGTGAATAGGTAGAAATAGAATACTATTCTAACAATAGCGATTAAATACAGGTGGTTCTGCCAACCACTTGATTCACGATGTCAATCCTTCGCATCTCGCCGATCTGCATACGGATTGATGCATTCCAACAAGACACGCGCCAAAGACGCGCAGTTTACTGAGTGATGCCACCGATTTCTTTAGACACATTGATGTCATTATAATTTAGCGTGACCGGTAATAGTCTGGAAATCAGAAGGAGACAACACATGTATAAATTACTAAAAAAGGAGTATCAGTTTACAGGATTGACTTCGAATAGATGTTAGATAGGAGATTAATAACTCTCGTGCCAACTTTAGAGACGGTAACCACATTAAACTGATTGGGCGACATCTGTCCGACTCAGAAAATAGGTTATTCGGACAATAGTTTATTCGTATCCTACTGTACGATTTTCTTGAAACTTTCCATTAAGTATGATGGTTTGAGGACGGATAATCTGTGTAAGTTTGAGCGAGTTTCTATGTGCCAAATTTGAGATATCACTTCAAACACAAGGAAATAGTGCTGTCAGACAGATGTCCTGTTACCTAAATTGAAATGGCGTGTGAATTATTCATTATCATATTAAATCATGACCTATATCTCCTCCGTATAAGTTTTCCTAATCAAATCGTCGTTTACACACGAGACTGCGAGACAATTAAACTTATGTAGGTTAGTATGATATCTAGAGTTGAAATTTCTGCATCCACACGTGTTGATAGATCCAACGAAATAACAAAATATACAGATATACAATTAGTGAACTGACAAATAATCCAATGGGTGAACATAACTTGGACAACACAGACACGTAGCAAACTTTTCTTTTACCACAAACTTTTCGAGCAACAGAATTTAACTTCCCGGTTCATATGCAGTGTTGCTGGTCATTTAATTTTATTCCCATGTGTAGCAATGTCACGGTCGTGTTTTACCCAGGTGTATCTATCACTCAGAATTTACTTTTTATTACATCTAAATAATTTATCTAAGAAAATGTGAATCATACTTATACCGATCTTAGTAACCCAACGGATTAAACCATGTTGAGTGAATGAGAAAGATATAGTGTCTTGCTAACACACCCATACCACTAGCATTGGCGTGAATATCCCACTTCTTCGATTCTAGACTATACTTAGGAAATAACTGGTAGTTCCTGTCGCCCCATGAACTAAGGAAACTACTAAAGACATCAAGGTAAAATAATTTAAATTTGGAACAAAGACTAAAGAGTAATTTGTTCATAGAGACCACATTTTGTTCTCCTTTGAGCCTTTGGGGGTTACCGTTAGCAGGTATAGGGAGAAGGGACTGGACAAAGATATTTGCTGAGGGAGCTAAGGATTTAATTTTGGACATAAAGTTCTGCAGAGGGCTTTTAAGGTGTATAATGCCAGTCTGACAGTATCGTATGTCGTTAGTTCCTACACACACAAACAGTTTCTTAATCTCTAAATCAGGGTGGTCTCACAAATTGCTCGATTAAGTGTAATACAGCATCAATCTTGCGACCACCCTTTATACTTATAGCGACTTTGAAAACTGTCTGTTCACCCTTGGTGGGGTTTTATATTTCCAGTCGCTCGAAGTATCTCCAGCGAGGAGTATGATCTTCTTCTTAGGGGGGCTAACGGGAGGCCAGTGTTAGGAGGGGGAGGATGATGAGGACGGGTAGAAGGATGATGAGGAGAAGGACGAGAAGAGGTAGGAGTGGTGTGGGTCAGTTAGGTTCCTAAAGGAAAGACTGTATCTAACACCACCCGGAGGAATTCTATGCAGTAGTCTGGATTGACAACCAGACTTCATGATATTGAGAGACTGGTCTGTCGCTGGCACAGATAATTCTGGGGAAGAAGGGGTACCTTTCCTGCCTGTAGGGTTGTTGTCGTTCCTTATAAAGTCCAGTGTTCTTGCTGCACCGAACGACACCGTACAAATGTCACTGTCCTGATCAATCAATGGTTCGTTGTCGTCATGGTAGTTCAGGTTAGCTCCTTTACAGGACATACATCTGACAAGACAGGCTGTCATGTTTCCAGAGGTGGCCTTATTGCTGTTAACAAGGTTCATCAGCTCGACAATTTTGGGGAACTCGTTGATCGGCTCGGGCTAGTTGACCACCCTTCCATACTTATACGAATCATTGCGGGGACTCAGCCACAAGGTCTTTACTTTCTTTACTGTTGTGCGGTCTTCATCGTTATAAGTTCTTTCATTACCCCATCAACCAGGGGCTCTGGAAGGTCAAGCTAGACGTGTTTCACAAGATCCGAAAAATGCTTAGGCTCAGGAGAAGTTGACGGTGATATAGGTTTGGGAGTGAGAAAGGACTCTGTAGAGGGAGTGGTAAGGGGTTCTGTCGGATGATCTTCCAGAAGGATTTCAATGGCATCTTTGAAGTCTTCTTCATTGTCATTAATGAGGGAGAGAATGTGATTTTTTCTGCTCTTGAAAGGCACTGAGAAGAAATTCAGTGATGAAGGTAGGTAGAAGTGGGGTTGGGTTAGCTTGCATCAATGGACAAAGTTACACCAAATGATCAGGATGGCAATCAGGGTACTAGGCAGCAGTCATCAGACATTCCCCGTAAAATGGAATGTAACGGCCTGAAAATAGAGACGGGCAGAGGGGAGTTAAACTTGTCTGCGGGTAAATTAAGTACCAATAAAGATCAGAGGGAGAGAATGGATCAATGATAACAATTTAAAGTTATAAGGTAAAATGTGAATCTAAAATGGACTATATTCAATTACTAGCCTGATTGAGAAGTTTAGGACTCCAGACAAGCGGGGGGATGCTAGGAGAGCTGCCGCTGCCTACCCTTTATGCAAATTTCACAACCCCGGGACTTCGGCTGGCTTTTACTCTGACATCGGCTGACTTCCATTGCCATAGTTTTTAAATTATGTTTCTGATCGAAGTTGCAATGATGCTAATAGATTTGATACAGCTCAGCAGTCACTGTCTTCAAATAAAGAGTGTTCCAGTTCTGCAGTCTCAAATGTTTTCGCCCAGCTTTTCTTTTCATCGTGGTTATAGAAGACAGACCTGAAAAATACTTGTATTATGATAATATAGGTAATATGCCCAGAATGAGTAAAATTGTATTATCGGCAAATTTACTTATGTGAAAACTCCAAACAGAGTTTTCAGAAGTAACCGCACACGAGCAACTGCACGTAATTTGTGTGGAAATATGTAACTCATTTAACGAAGTCAGTTAAATGAACCTACCTTATTTACCGATGGCAATTTTTTTGCTTGTGATGAAGTAGTCCTCTCAATATATGTATGTAATTTGTTAAAAGAGTAGGATTGTAGACTGTAGTCATAGTCCATGTATAGCGACGGTAGTTTACCAGCAGCTCCCTGTACAAACAGAAATATGGTTGTTATATAATACTACTTGTTAAATTATTGAGTACAATGCAGGAATACACTAACGTGTCTTATATTAACACCTAATAGACGTATAATATGTACTCATAAACAATGATAGTCCCAATTGTTTGTAATTGCTTATAATTTAAACCTTCTTATTAACTCATTTTGATGACTGTGTCTGACCTAAAATTGCACGAGAAATAGATAAAATTATGCGTCAGACAGGGCTCGACCAGGATACCGGCGCAGCCGGAATTTTAAAAAAAATCTCAACACTTATTTTACTTCGGACATTCCAACAGCCACATTGTTACACAAGTGTGTAACCAGCCAATTGCAGGAAGCCGAAGGATTCAATTATACGTTAGGCCAGTGACGGTTAAGGTAGTGTGTACCGTACTTTCTTCGCCCGAGACTTTGCTGCAATGGGCAGCTCCTCATTTAACCCTCACACCCGATTTCTCGAGTATTTGGCTGAGTGGACCGGGGGGCTGCATAGACCACTCAGGATCCTTAGCTGAGCGTCGACGACGCTCACCCCACGGCTAGTGACAGAGTCGGGAATCGAACCTGGTACCTCAAGCAATACCAGGCCCGGATTAACCAACTGAGCCACTAAGGCCGGTATTCGGCAATTTTGTACCGGTACCGGCCGGGATTTTGGTTTTAGCCGGGATTTCAGCCGGGATTTTTCCAAAATAAATTCAGTTTTTTTTTCAACGTAAATTTGAGTCCAAAATTCGCAAATCTGTTAACATTTTCCTAAAAAATTTTGATGAAATCATCGAACAATGGAGACTGGAGTCAATCTAGGTTTAAAATAATCATGGGTTTCATGACGTCGATTTTATATTTTCGTTTACGAATAATGGAAAATGCTAGAAATATGACTCATGACTTAATTATTGTGACTAAGTGTCACGGCTCACGGTCTTGTGTTACCGAGGGACAAGTAAAACAGAGTTCTCCGGGTAAATAAAGCATTAATAAATGCTATTCAGTATTCACCCTATTTAATTATTCAGGTAAGGTTATTTAAACTGTAAAGTATAAAGCTCCAACGTCAAACTCCATGTTCAATTAAATTAGTTTAAGGACACGTTCATTTGAGTTTGAGAATATTGGTAAATATAAGTGACCCTATTAAAAGGCACAGTGTAGTTGACTTTGTCACACTATGAAATAACACAAACCCTTGATGGTTAGGATAATCGTCTCATCCTCTAGGCTAGCTTTGTCACTTAACCATATCTTAATCAGGTGATAAGATATCGCTTAAATACGGCCGGCACGGAAATGGTTACATTGTCACATTATAAACATGTGACGGAGTAAATATGGACCCCTTGCTGCCGTTTTTGACCAAATTTTTGAGTGTCCAATTGATTGGATGGGTACATATAACCATTACCTACATATTTGAAGACTTTTTTCGTTAGATGGTGCACTCAGGTTTACTCTGTCACACATTTAAGAAAACATTTGAACAATGTTTAGGGCACCCTGATAAGCAATGCTGAGTAGTGTAGGTTTATTTGATGCCCTGGAAGTGCTAGGAATTGTTATTATATCATATAGTCGTAAGGAATTAAAACACAGAAGGCACAAACAAGTTTACTTTGTCACATAATCTTGATGATATCTGAACATGTGTGAAATTGAACAAATAATGATATACCAGCTTAAACCCCTTATATTATGTACTATGGATCAAACAACACTGCTAGTACCACGCACAAGTCACATAAATCATTATCCGGTGGTAATATGTTAACAGTGAAACTGAGTGGAGTTGGGTTAGAAACATATAAGAGATACGATGATTTAACTTGTAGAAGCTTTCAATAAACATGTGTTAATCGTCGTCAGCTGAATGTGATGAGGTGGACAATGCTTATATGTGATTGAGTGGTGTCAGGGATGGAGGGTGGGGGAGGTGTGGGTGGGAAAGTGAAAATTACATTACAATGTCAATAAAAATTTAGTCTTCTGTTGAGGTTGAGAAGGAAATGCCAGCTGGTCTGGACTTTAAGGATTTGGCAATTTTAGGAAGGATGGGGTCCCATATGTTAACAGTCCCATAATATGTTAACAGTGTCACAATTAAACTACCGCAACATGGTCAAAAATAGGGTAATTTCGTCACAACAAAATTATTATAATTCTGTTAGCTCCTTGCTGGCAAAATAACTAGTTGATTGATGATAAAGTTACATAGTATTCTAATAGAGGTATAGCTCTTCAAAATAGGGGCAAGACATGTACATGTTTACTTTGTTACATCAGTAATTATTATAAGAGTAATAATCATCAGATTAACCGATCTTTTTCGTAGTTTGGATCGATTGATATAGGCATTAAAGCATACTACGCCAATTTTAACACACTATCTTGATATTGTTGGGGCAGGGACAGTTAATTTTGTCACATTTTCAGCGTCTTTGACAAATTAATCTAAAATTGTTAAACTTGAGCTCTGATGTTCTGGACAATATTCTACCAATCGTTTCTGAAAGAATGTTGAATTCTAATAGAGTTATAGATCTTCAAAACAGAGGCAAGACATGTTTACTTTGTTTGTTGTGGCAGGAAAAGTTAATTTTGTCACATTTTTAGTGACTTTGAAAAATGTAACCTAAAATTGTTAAACTTGAGCTCTGATGTTCTGGACAATATTCTACCGATTGATTTCTGAAAGAATGTTGAATTCTAATAGAGTCAAAGAATATATAGATCTTCAAAATAGGGACAAGACATGTTTACTTTGTCACATCAGTTATTATGAGAGTTATTATAACAGACTATTTCATTCTATAATCATTGTTTTTAACCTATTTACGATTTCGTATCATTTTTTGTGACAATGTAAACATCAACTGATCTTAACTGATCAACTACATTGTCATCATGTAAAGTTTTCCCGCCTTTCAAACCAAAATCAGTTATAAATAATTCGCCCAAAATTTAAAATTCCATATATTGTGACAGAATTGACCTCATTTCCAAATAACCAAGTGCAGTTATTATGACAGACTATTTCATTCTATAATCATTGTTTTTAACCTATTTACCTATTTTTGTGACAATGTAAACATCAACTGATCTTAACTTGCATCAACTACATTGTCATCATGTAAAGTTTTCCCGCCTTTCAAACCAAAATCAGATATAAATAATTCGCCCAAAATTTAAAATTCCATATATTGTGACAGAATTAACCTCATTTCCCAATAACCAAGTGCCTGTATTAGCTAACTATTCGACACAACATATTTTAGGGCTATGATTGGTAGATCAACTATCAAATAATGAGTTAAAAGGTTTTTGAGGACACCTCACAATAGAATAGAGGTATGGTATTCTGAGTGTGACAAAGTTACCCTAATATTGCCTTGTAACCGTTCGATCCGTGCCCTTTAACCAATGTTGTGTCATAATTGTTAGATTAACCTAATCTACTATATTTCAGACCAAGGAATGATAATTAGACAACTGCAGTTAACTAAGTCACACAAAATGTGACATTTGAACCATTATAGTGCCTAACAACAATAGATTTTCTTTCTGAGCAGTGCATATGGGAGTATGGGTTACCTCGCTAATGTTCAGAACTTCTGAACGTGCTAGGTTAATAGATGTCAAAATTAAGCCACTATCGTCGAAAACGCTATCATTTTTGTTTACCAATATCCTCAAACTCATATGAACGTGTCCTTAAGTAACCAATACCAGATCACAAATATGAGTTCTGTGTCAGTTTTGACTTATATAAACATAATTCAGTTTGTCATTCTAAAGAAGTAACGGAGAAATATTGGAAAAATCCCGGTACCGCTCCCGGAACCGGCCGGTATGACGCTGATCCCGGCCAGGTTTTCATTTTCATCCCGGTCCCAGCCGGGATGGAGGTAATCCCGGCCCGGTACCGGCCGGGACAAAATGTCGATCAAATGGTCTCAGAACTCACTAACACTTCCTTCTTACTCAAAATTGATGTTTTACATTATGACGAGCAACAAGCAACATATATTTTGATCCTTCGGTTCTAAATCTAAGGCAATCTGAGGTTATTTGAAAGCTTTCGTTCAGAAAATAAATAAAACCTTCAAATGGGGGTAACAAGGAGTAACAAGCGTTGCAAGTGTTCCATAATACTAAGATCTTTCTCCTACTGAGCAGAACCTTCCCCTTAAAAGTAAACAAATCGCCTCTCTACGACAATCCAGATCTATTAAGTAGCAGAGACGATCATTTAAGGAGACTTCGATATCTATCAGGATCATGATTATACTGCCGTGAGAACTAAGCACTCCGGGATTTAACACATAATATTTGGTTTTCTCGATTTCATTCATATTTAGACATAAGTCGGTGTAGATAATTGGTTATACGTAGAATAATTGGACATAATTTTATGCTAAGTTGTACTTGCGTCTGCGGAAATATACGTGTGAACTGGTCATACCGCAAATGCTGAAAAAAGTAGATCTTACCTATCATAAAATCACCGCCCGTACCGTACACGACTGAGTTATAACTGCGTCAAGAAATTCTGTATCATAATGATGTATTGCCATGGCAACCAAAACTCCATCGGGAGATCGGCTAGTAACGCATAATATACCTACAGTATCAAAACATATCATAGCAACATTCCAGAGATTCTGATTAGCTTATGTGCGTGTGTGTGTGTGTAAGAAAATACAGTCTGCTAGAACATTCCGTTTACACATGGTAAGATAGTAAATAGGCCGATAATAACTGCCCATTGCATTAACAAGTTGTTCAATTTATCTCCGAATTACACACAAATTTCAGAAATGATAGATCTGTGCCGAACTAAGATTTTCTGAAAGTCTCGTAGACTTTAATCAATTACAGAGGGTGTGGACACTGGCCACCCCCTCTATTTCACTATTATAGTTGAAACTAGTATAGATTACAATAATTTTACAAAAGTCGAAACAGTAATATATATAATATAAACACCAATTTGTAGGATACTTTAAATCACACCAAAATTGTTCCCAGATTAATGCAATGAAATCTGATGATGTCTTTTCAGTGAAAAAGAGGCCACACTGTAATTGATTAAAGTTTACGAAACGTTTAGAAAATGAGTTATATTACTTGCAACTATAACTAAGATAAATTGAGTATCAATATCCGGCCCAGTAAAGGCTTACTGGGCTTATCGACCTAAGAGGACAGCCCCCTGAGTGGATTGCAAGACAGTCTCAATTGTGATCTGATGGGCCCAGTTAGAAAAGCCTGATTGTGCACAGAACATCAGCTGTATTTGTTCTTAATAGCTTGATCTGCAAGAAGAAGCAAGGCGCTTTAAACTGGTGTTGAGGTTGAGGGTAGATAATAGATTTCGCCAATCTCTTCCTTCAAACCATTTCCGATGGTTTGATCGATGGTTCCTGTTATATATGACAATCAAGGCTAACCAGCCTGAAACGATAACACCGCAAACGTTTGCTATACATTGAGTGATGCATCACGTTTCCATCCAACACATTTTAAAACGGTCATAAACCGGCTAAATTTAAATAACCAACTTCAGATTTTACAAGGGCCGAACAGGGTTTTAATATTAAATCTGATAAATTTAGTCAAACATATTTCTGTTAACACAGTTATATAACTATAGACTTAGTCGGCTGCTGGACAGTTCCGCCTAACCTAGATCAAGCTCAGCTCACGAGAAGATTCAAGATTTAAAACCAATTGTGAGCTTAAGATCATAGCAGTTATAGACTTAGAACCAAATTATATTGGCAGATTATTATCTCTGTAATAACAGACTTTACGATATCATGGAATAAAGTAAATCATGAAATATCTCTTTTACGACACAGGACTCCGTGTTTAAAGAAGGATTGATTAACGGCTGGAAAAAATGTAACTGGATATCTGCCACAGTGCTGCTTTTATTAAGGTTGAAGTAACTTTTAGCACATAAAGAAGTCTGGTTTGCTAGGTTTTAATTGATCGTATAATAGTAGTAGTAGTAGTAGTAGTAAATCTTTCAAAGTACGAAATATCTCTTTAAAAGAGCATCCTAGGCACCTTATAGATATCAAAACGCATAAAAAAGAAAAACAAAAACATCAACCATCTTCTAACTTCTTCCACTCCTCCCTATCTAACGCTAAAAATCTAAGGTCTTCGAAATCAGTCAAATTCTTAAGTCTAATATCAAGATTTCTACTAGTCAAGTCTTTTCTAATAACATCTAATAAGTTTAAACATGGTCTACCCCGTCTCCCTTCCATAAAAATATCAGAATTTATAGCAAATAACATAGAGGTGTATGCTGGTGAGTCTTCCTGTCCTCTTAAGATATGTCCTAACATTCTCCATCGAAACTTAGAGACTCTCACAGACAAGGGAGTGATAATAACAAATAAAAATAAGTTAAGACTACAAAAACGGTCAATAGAAACTAATTATAATACCTGTATCGAGAACTCGACTTCAAAGTACTATCATTCTGCCAAATTATGTCATATCTTGAGACTATTGATAGCTTCCTGAAACAGTTTTGAGTCAACATTTTCGTGATATTCTAGAAATTGAAACCAATTCTCATCTTTTAAAAAGTAGATTGCATTAAATGCCATAGAATGGAATTTATTGAAATCTACTTTTTTAAATTCTAAGAATTTGTTGATTTATTAAAATTCTGTCTCAATTAAGGGTACACGCAATGTAGTTCGACACACGTTCATGCTAGGCACCCTTTTAACCCCCTCTATGGTGAAGATGAGGATGGTAAGTACAAGTAATGTGAGGAGAGGATGGGTACCATTTAGTACATTTAAGCTGTAGGTGTAAAGTAGCTCTTAGTCGAGGAGTATATAAATGACGGCACGACAAGGTTCTGCAACAGATCTCTGAACATGTTATCTTGTGAGCGCCGAGTGAACACTTAAATAAAAACAAGGCCAGCGATGGAAGACAGTTCATTGACTGCTAGGCTGGGAGGGAAAAAGCAGGTACAGACGACCGAAAGGAGTCGTGGTTTGGGATCCTGAGTGGGTCTCGATATTGGATAGTGTTGTCATATATCGGGCCTTATAATATTCTCAAGGTCACCAAGACGGCACAGTCTTATGGCGGGAGGTAACGGTACCATCTAAAAAACAGATTGCTGAATCATACGAGTAAAAACTCTACCTGTACAGCAGTCTTACAGCAGACTGAGATTAAAGCGCAAGAATGGTGCTGTTATAATTTTGCGTTTAAAGTTTTAGCACCTGGAATCTGTTAACAGTTTTTAGAGAGCTGAGTAGGCTAGTACGGGATAGTAGGGAAGAAGTAGCTCACTGTTCCAGATGGATCTACTTCTCATCAAGGAAGAGGGAGTGGTAGGTTTTTGTGAAAAATCATGATACGAACTTTGATGAACCCATAATAATATAGTGCAAGGATAGCATTCTCATAAGTTCTACCCTTGCTACAGTGCACAATGTAAATACTTAGTGATATCAAGCTGCAATCTAAAATTTATTAATTGAATCTCATTATCACTTCAAATCTTACCTGTGCAGTCTAGCCTGATTGCGACATCGTTAGAAGTGAGAGATAAAAGACATTCAATTGTAATCCAATTCTGCGAGAGAAGATTTGCCCAGACAGCTGACAAGAATGTATTACCATACTTCCTGTAAATGTGGTAGTTATTAAGTCCTATCAACCTTGGATATTATTTCAGTATGTTGTTTTACGTGGGCAACATCGTAAATTACACACACTATAAACTATAGCACTAATCCTATGCTGCAGTGTCAATAAAAATGGAAGTACAAATCACAACAAAATGTAAACGAGCACACAAATTCAGGTTAATCCATGCTAGTATAGTTAGTTAATCTAAAAATAACCATAAGACAAATTAACCAATCTCCAAGCCACATTCTTGGTTGTAGCGAGATGCACCACTGGGCCTGACATCGTGAATCAACATTCTTGGTAATTACGTAAGACACGAAGGAAACGTTTATAAAAGTTCACTAAAAGAGAACTAAGTGACTTATACCGGCGCCTCTTCACTGTAAACAACACTGGAAACTTTTCCCGTGCCATCTCTGCTGCCGGGTCATCCCAAGACTCTCCTAACCCACTGAAGGAAGACCAACGTCATGTCTCAGAGTACGGTCTAAAAAACTTTGTGTTAACATAAAACTTGGCCTTTATCGTGCCTTTGGTATGAGATCCCATAGAATGCAGCCCTCTACAGAGCGCTAGAATAACCCTAAAATTCAAAAACAAACAAGCCTCACGAGATCAAGTCGCTGTAATGTCCTGGAACATTCAGGACAGTACAGGAGACGGATCTAACAAATTTGAAAATAACGAATTTCTGACAATCCTCAAACAAGCAAACATTCTGTGTCTCCAAGAAACTAAGAAGCAGGTTAAAATCGAAGGATACCTTTCCTTTAATAGCAACCGCAAAAACTCTCGCTCAGGAGGGGTCTGCATTCTTGCTGAAAATGATTTAAGAAAAGGTGTTTCCTGTGTGCCTTGTAGTGAATCTGACGATATTATTGTTGTTAAACTTGACAAAAACTTTTGTTAGCTTTATTTTGATCTATTTTTAGTATGTTATTATATTAGCCCTGCATATTCTACCTATGTCAAGAAATATCCAGACTGTACTGCTAAGACCTTCTCTGCTCTTGACACCCTCTGTATTAGACTACGTCAAAAAGAGGCATATCTACGAATTATCAAAATACCTGATGTTCGAAAAAGTCTGACAAGGTTTCGTATCAGCTGCCACAACCTCTACATTGAAAGTTGCAGATACGAAACCCCCCTTGTACCAAGTGAAGAACGTTGGTGCACCTACTGCTTTTTCAGCAAAGGGCTCAAGCCTATTGAGGACGAAAGTCACGTATTGATTGACTGTTTGCTCTACTCCTCAGTTAGGGAAAAATTCAATTTCCATCCCCAAAACATTGTTGACCTAGTCGGTTTGCTCTCCAACAAAACTTTAGATCCTACCACACTCACTGCCACAGCAAGAGCAATCCATTCATTTCTCTCTGTGAACGAACATTATACAGCCTATTATAAGAGCCCAGACTTCCACTCAAATACTGGCAAGTGCATAATGCTATAGGACCTTAAAATAAAATTGAACCATACAAACTCGATTTATCTATTTTTCTAAAACTAGCATTATATAACATTTCTAAATTATCCCTACACACTTGTAAATAATTAGAATTGTGTAACCTAAATTATTTCAGAATTACAACTATTGTGTACTCAGTAAAGTAATTATCACTTTTGTATCCTTTGTATCCTTGTATCCTTGTATCCATGTCTTTATAAAATCACTCACTCACAAAATTGCCGACCCAATATCTATTGAAGTGGCGAAGATCGGCCAGACCGAGTATTACCATCCCATCCTTCTAGAGTTCATCACAAGTAGCACCCACCTTGAAGATTTTTGACACCCAGACACACCCCATTGGCACACCCCAGCTCAACAAACTTTGGATATAATCTTACATGCTCCCGATTGTCCCGAAGGAATCCCTGTTTATCATCAGCACTTTCACTAGGTCACCAGCTTTTTCACTGAAATCATCAGCCTTTTCACTGAAGTCATCAATCAGCCCTTTCAATAAAGATTTTAGCTCGTGTTCTAAACTACAAAACTTATCAAATTGTTCAAGTTCTAATAAAGCGATCACGACTGTTCTGTCAAAGCACTAGCAACTACTCAACTAGGAAGGTTCTTTAAAATTCTTTGAAGGGTCATAATTACTCAAATCTCTTGCTAACAATCAAGTTGTTGTTCCTAGTTCTACAATTAAACGAATACAAAATTACAGCCTTTCAGGTTTACATTTTTTGATATCCAGCTCAACATACGGCTTTGATACCAATAATGGGTATATACCGATGATCGGTGTTAATAAATATTTGATTATATTACCATGAAACTTAGTATTGAAGTTTAAACTCTTTCTTGTGTAAGAATAACCTAAAGAAAAACGTACTAGTGTACTGTTACCAGTTACGGAAAGCAACCATTTAATTAAATTGAAGATAAATAAACAGAATACAGATGCACGATCCACAATACAAATACCAACTTAATCGACGGACAAATTGAGGAAATGAAAATTTCGTTTGGAAACGAGCTATATATAATGCTAGGACGTAGCGCTCGACTCCAAATTGAAGTAAAATTAATACGCGATCTAACGAGTTGAACTGCCACTTTTTTGGCAGTTCGAATGTTGGAATTTCCACTACTGTGGTTGCGAGAAGCACTATTGGATGCGCGCGCGCGACCCAGTAGTGCATCGCGCTACAACCAACCACCTCCTTTATACTACTGTATAAGTATAAATTATAGAAACTTAATAGTCAAACCCACGCAGTAGAAATAGAATGGCCTCTAATATTAATAAGGATTTCGTAATATCACCATGACGGAACACTCTGAATAGAATTTGTATACGTTGTATGACCCGCCGCGCACGAGTGCGCGGCTCCCCTGTAGCGTAAAAACGATAAAGTGGGTCACGACGTGATACAAAGTCAAAACAATATTACACGGCAAAATGCGCTATTGTACCTCGCCGAGCTGCGATGAATTGACATCGTCAATTAACACTGCACTGTAATATAAGCGCATGGGCTTTGGTTAGAGCGAGTGTAAAGTGGTATCACGTGATCAAGACAGTTTTTCGCTGATATCAGATATGTTGCCAGGGGAGTGTTTTAACCATATGTATAATATGGAGTAGAATTCGGAATCAGAGTTTAACGGGTGATACCCAGAAAACCTTACTGGCCAGGGCCTAACTTCAAAAGTAAAAGAAATAGCGACTTCCGGTTTTTTGCAACATGTTCGTCTTGTAAAACATAAAAGTAAGGTTTCCTTGTCATACATTGTATGACCCGCCGCGCACGAGTGCGCGGCATATTAGCATAATTTAAGCCCTCAATCTTTCCTTGTCATACGTTGTATGACCCGCCGCGCACGAAGTGCGCGGCTCCCCCTGTATCGTCAGGACGATAAAGTAGTGAAACGACCGTGGGGGTCGCAACGTGATACAAATCTTTCCTAATACTTCGTTCGAAACATACCAAAAATGACTATCATTTACAGATCCGTTTACAAATCCTTTGGGTATGAAATTGATCTAAATCGGTGTATTTTTGGACGCTGATTCCGAATCACCCCCATGACATAGTGCGTAAAAATACTTCCCTGGAGAGTTATGGGCAAAAAACCGTTTTGGTCACGTGACAGGCTAATAAAACATTGTATCACGTTGCGACCCCCACGGTCGTTTCACTATATATTCGTCCTGACGATACATGACAGGGGGAGCCGCGCACTTCGTGCGCGGCGGGTCATACAACGTATGACAAATAAAACATGAATTCGATTGTTAAGGGCTCGGGTTAGGGTCAAGGTTGTGGTAAAGGGTATGGATAGGGTTAGGGTTGGGATATATTAGGGTTTATGTATGATGTTAAACCGTTTCGTACTGTGTACGGCTGTTAAACCATAAAAACCAAAGTCACGTGAAATTTTTGGGCGAGCGAATTAGTAAAAGCCGAATTAGTAAAATACAGGGTACTTGTCGTAAAATATTTGTTCCAAGACCATCGTTACTTTACTGGGCCGCGCTCAGCCTGTCATTGCATTCCGCCGAATCTCTATTAATGAGCATAATAGCCTGAGGTCCCTAGGTAACGTTACTGGGCCGCCCTCAGCCTGTCATTTCGCCGAATCTCTATTCTATGTTAATGAACATAATAGCCTGAGGTCCCCAGGTTCACATAGCCATGTGTATACGCGTACTGCGTGACGCGCTTGTTTCACAAGTTTGCCGCCTACGGCGGCCGCGCGCTACTGCAAGCGAGAGGGCTCTGGTTAGAGCAAGTCCCCAGGTAAAGACCATCGTTACCTAGTTTGATTCACGATTGACGATGTCAATCCTTCGCAGCTCGGCGAGGCCCAGTGGTGCATCCCGCCGCGCGCCGATCTACCGAAAAGATGCGCGGTGCGGCCCAGTAGTGCATCGCGCTACAATTACTTAGCTTGCTAGTTTATTTAATTGCTCACTTCTCTCACGTAGAAAAGAGCGCCGGGCACAGGGACTGGCGTGCCAAGTAAAGACCGTCGACGAGCCCAACTCGGTGCACGCGTCTTGGTAGGTAATAAACCTAAAAAGCAGCGTTTGAAAATACATTAAATTATTTAGGTTCGATTTAATTGACGATGTCAATTCATTGTAGCTCGGCGAGGCACAGTAGCGCATTTCGCTGATTGTTGCGAGAAGCATAATTACATTCGAATAGATCGAATGTAAATTGTTTTAGCAGTAGTATAGCACGCTCGTATCAAAAATTTAAAATTCATGGGACCAATGTATCAAAATCTTAAAATTGGAATATTATAAATTTAGGCCAAGGGATTTGAATTTGACAGTGAAAAGTGAAAAAGGCCCAGTAAACATTCATTTGCTTTTAATTTTTGAGGAGGTAGTTGCTTTGTTTAAATCCAAAATACCACTGTAGCTTTTAATTATAATTGAAATATCTACAATTTACTTAAATGAAATGTAAACTGCTGATATCAAATTAAGAATGATGAAGAATTTTCCACGAAGATTTATTCACGGGAATTATTCACGGTCTCAAAATGTTTACACGATTTACACGATTTACACGATTAGAAAATTTATTTGTTATACTGGAATAATAACAATTTTAAAATATAAAATAAATCACTTCCCTCTGAAGTAGAACAGATGATGGGAGAGCTTCAAACATGGCGATGGAGGGAAGCGGTGTCTCACCGCTGGGAGGTAAATTAATACCCGTATCGCGATGGTAAAATTTTATGATATGAGATCTCAAGTAAAAAATAACACAAAAAATAAAAAGTGAATGTTGTCAGTGTAGTGAAATCGGAGGCAACATTAATAAAGACGTATACACTTAAACCGTTACAATTATAGTCCCCATCTTGTTTTAAATACTCACAATAAAATACACACAAAAAACACACAAACGTCCCCAAAACATTAACTTCAATTTATATTTCCCTAGTTGAAATTAACTTATTTTATGAAATTGATACATTCGAGAAGATATCGTGATTACATGGTAGCCATCCATGATCCCCATTTAGCCCTAGGTTTTGTATATGAAGCAAAAGGTTCTTAAATCTCTTTTTAAATAGTGAAATTGACAAAATATGATACGGTACATCATGATCAAGGAGATAATTTAAAATTTTGGATGCATTAAAAACAAAATTACTATTCTTGGTCTTAGACATTGAGAATTTAGGATTTAGAAGTCTGCATGATCTACTTGACTTGCTAAACCGGCGATAAACATCAACAGGAATTTGTTCTTTAAGTAGCCTCATTGCAATACATCCAGTAAAGTATGTAAATAAGTTAAACAAGGTTAATAATTTCAAACGAAGAAGAAAGGCTTTTAGATTGGCTTGTAGAACATTGTTTTTCGAGAAAAGCCATTTAGTTGTCTTTCAAGTGAAAGATGAAAACAAAGTTAAAAAATTGTAATAGTGAATAGGGATCCATTATAAATTCTTAATTGGGAACTATTTCTTACAACCTGTGTTCAAGACTGTAATCTTTCAATGTTGAGGTTGTGAGGTCTGGTTAGACATTGATTTGGTAAAAATGAACTACAACTCTTTGTATAACGGATTGGTACAATTTTTGTGTAATTTGCTGTTAAAGATTCTGTGTTTCTAATTTTGTGTTGGTTACCCTCTGAAATACTGAAATACTCTTATACTTCACCTTGATGAGACAATTTAAAAAATAACATGAGATTTTTCAAATATAGCAATGCGCACTCTTAAATGTGTTGCTGTTGGTGATGGGGCTGTGGGAAAAACATGTCTGCTAATCGTTTACAGTACTGCCTCTTTTCCTGGAGAGTATGTCCCTACCATTTTTGACAATTACACGGTTAATGTCGTTGTTGATGGAGAACCGATTAATCTAGGACTTTGGGACACTGCTGGGCAGGTTTGTCGAATTTTTATGGTGTTTTCCTAAAAATTGTGTTTTCCTAAAGTTAATTTGCATACTTTTGAGTTATGGCTTAAAATTTGATTGTACTTGTATTGCACAGGAAGATTACGACAGATTGAGGCCGCTCAGCTATCCTGATACTGATGTCTTTTTGATATGTTATTCCATTGGAGCACCTGCATCTCTTGCAAATGTCGAGGAATGCTGGAACATGGAGGTAAAAGTAATTATTTATCTAGAAAAGCATGTGTTACATCCTCGTTATTAAAATCTTTTTGTTTTAGAAAGGAAAGGACTTTCAGCATGTTTTTCATTTTGCTTTATTCTTTCTGTAATTTTGTATAATTACTGTAAATAATCTGTTTGATAGGTGAGTCATCATCGTCCTTCATCTCCTAAAATCCTCGTTGGTACAAAATGTGACCTCCGTGATGATCCAGGCTACACCGGCCCCACTGTTGCAACAGAGGAAGGTTAACTATTCTCCACTTGTTGTACTTTGTGTCTGACTATAGGCTGTTTTTTAATCAAATAATTAAGGCCTAAGAATCAGCAATTATATTGTCTTGGATTGATTTGATATTATAACATAGTCTATATTCTAATTGCTTCCTTTTGCAGGAGCAAAAGTAAAGAAGAGAATCAAGGCTGTAGATCATATTGAATGTTCTGCTTTAACTGGCGAAAATTTGAAAACAGTTTTTGATCGAGCGATAAAATCAGTGCTGAATCCAACTACAGAAAAAAAGACCACACAAAAGTGCACCTTATTATGAGTTAAAAAGAGGACCAACTTTTTAGTACAGTATAGTAGGGTTGTCAGCATTAGGCATGATATTGATCTTGGGATTATTAATGTTATTGATTGTTGAATGTTTTTAAGGATATCTCTTTTCTGAATTTTATTTTATTTTTCATCTTAAGAAAACGTAAATCTGATCAAACCAGAGAAGAGAGGCAATATGTAATTTGTTTCCCACTTTGTAATCCTTTTGTTTATTCAGTCAGAAATTTTCAATTATTATTTGTAATTAAATTTTAAAGATTTTAGTTTTCAGTGTTTATAGTAATGTTGTTATAATATTGTTTGTAGCTTTCAAATTATTATATTAGTGTTTTGATGACTTGAATTTAAAGCTTTCCTTGGTGTTATAACATCCTGCCTTTAAAAGATAAAACAGAAATAAATAAAATAAGTTGTGGCATCCTACTGTAAATTCTTTTTACACTACAATAACATCCAAACACTCTTCGGGGGATTGTTATACGATAAAATTACTAGGTATAGATTCTTGAAATATTTCTTAGCTCTCTGGTCTTCCTATATTTACTCTTGTTAAAACACCATGGTGATAATGTGATTCAGTAAGCTTGCTTTTGTTTATGATCCCTCCTACTCTCTTAAGTCAGGATTATGTTTAAGAAATCTTCACTCACTCTCAGAACAGTTGTTGTTGGTTTGGAGACAGTTGGAAAGTCGAGCATGATCTTCACATACCACAGAAAGGAATTTCCTGCAGATGACGATGCCTATAATGGCTTTGATAGGGGTGGGATCCTGCACACTGTGAATCAAATGGAAAACCTGTTGGCTTAACTATTGTGGACACTGTTACAGGTGAGGATTTTGATCGATTACGGCCATTATCATACCCTGGAGCAAATGTCTTTATCATTCTTTTCGTTGTTTCTGGGACTGTCGAGGCTTTTGAGATGGTGCAAAATCACTGGGCGCCTGAGTTGAGATTTCATTGTTCTAGAATCCCAACTATCTTGGTCGCTTCTAAGATCGACCTCAGAGGACAGGAATTGTGCACAATATCACCAGAAGAAGGGAAATCAATGGCAACTGATATCGGTGCAGCAGGCTATATGGAAATCTCCTCCAAGGAAGTGGTAGGACTAATTGAACTGTTTGAGCTGGTATGCAAAATTGGGGCTCAACACCAGAAAAACACCAGAAGTAAAACAAGGAAAAAGTGTTTTATTTTGTAATGCTGCTTAGTGGACTTATAATTTGTAAAGGTTGTAGATTCCTCTACAGGGCCGTCGAATAGTTCGACCGCCCTTGTTTACAATACAGTACAATGTAGATGTTCTGATGGAGTATCCTAAGATTCTTGATCTCTTTGGCACAGGCACCCCTCCTCATTTAGCCTTCAATCAAGTTTCCTATCATTCGGCTGCCTTGACCGAGGAGATTGCATAGATCCAATGAATCCTTAGCTACTCCCTACATTGAGTGACACTGGGATTAATCCCTGGACCCTTTACACAGCTACTCCCTACACTGAGTGACACTGGGATTAAACCCTGGACCCTCTACACATAAGGTGGAAGCTCTAACCACTAGCCACTAGGTCACCCAGCCATGGTTAATTCTTCCATCTGTCACGAAAACGGTCAGTGTTATATTCCATGTGGTTCAAGTTCAACAAATATGTTGTTTTGGCAAGTGTTATAAATCCAAATTTCACTGTTTTTTCTACATTTTTCTTGAATAACCAATTAGTGAATTCACTGTGGATAATCCAAGACAGGATTGAGGTACTGAAAGCTAGATTACCCAAGAGAGCTTTGATAAACGGAAAATTCGCAGAATAGGAGGAGAAATTTTGGAAGATTTATAAATATAAGCTTTTCTGCCGTTTCCTTGACCAACATTTCACAGTTTTGGCTGAATTTTTGACCAATGACCAATAAGTGGGGTCAGTATGAGTGACACAAGTCACGATCGAGGTACTGGAAGCTGAATATCCGGAGCCCAATTTTCATACAGGAAACACAGGATACATTCGAATTTTAAGTTAGATAAGTTTACAATATAATAATGAAACGCAGATTAAATTTAAACGAATAGTCAAAATGTATCACTACAGCAATGTATTTTAAATGAGATTTCAATTTCCAAATAAAAATATTAATTCTAAAATTAAACTTCATACTGTTAATTACAGCCGAACTGCACTACAATAATCCAAGAGTTTCAAACGTAAAAGATTAGCATTTACCGTCTGTTTCAGTGTTCCAGACTGCTTCACCGTTGTCTTTGTAGAGGACAAGGTTTCCATCATCCTGCATGACCAGGTTCTTACCTCCGCTGTTGTAGGAGTTAGCTGACCAAGGTCCACCGTCGTAGTACAGAACAAGGTTCTGATCTCCCTGGAAATACAGACCATCCTGTACTCCTTTGTCCATGGTATCAGAATTCCAAATAGCGCTTCCACCATCACAGTAGATGACCAGGTTGCTATCAGTTTGCATGACGAGACGATACTTCCTGTTGTTTGAGTACAATGTCTCCCCTATCTTCAGAGCAACGAAAGTGCTAGATCCTCCAAAGCAAGTGTTTCCGCTGCAGCAGCCTGAAGCAGTGTTACATCCTTGGCTGACACTGCTGTCTCCCTCACATGCTGCTCCACCATTTGCTGGGGCTGGGTTAGAACAGCTTCTCGAACTCGCCTGGGTTCCTGCTCCACATGTATTTGAGCACTCTGACCAGTCTCCGAAGTCGGTCCATCCACCGTTAACTGGACACCCCTGTGTGTTACATTCTTGGCTTTCGTTATCGTCTCCCAAACATTCTTGTCCACCATTTGCTGGGGCTGGGTTAGAACAGCTTCTTGATCTTGTCTGGGATCCAGTTCCACATTCAGCTGAGCACTCTGACCAGTCTCCAAAGTCTGTCCATCCACCGTTAACTGGACATCCCTGTGTGTTACATTCTTGGCTTTCGTTATCGTCTCCCAAACATTCTTCTCCACCATTTGCTGGGGTAGGGTTAGAACAGCTTCTTGATCTTGTCTGGGATCCAGTTCCACATTCAGCTGAGCACTCTGTCCAGTTTCCAAAGTCTGTCCATCCACCATCAACAGAAGGTTCGGCACAACTGTGCTCACACGCCTTCAGCTTCTTCTCGATCTTCTTACATCCCTTCGTTTCCTTCTTTGACATCTTAAGACTTCCTTCCGCTGATTTGCAGTTATCAAGTGCAGATTTGAATCCTTTTTCGAGGCAAGCATCAAACTTCTTTAAAGTTGCTGGCATCTTCTTTTGAGAGATCTTGCATCCTCCCTTCTTACCACCATGAACGGTCAGGATAAGAAGAGCTACGAAACAGATAGACTTAATCATCATGAGAAACTAACTTGAGTTGAGGTACGATGGGAAATGAAGGAATGGTGGGTGGAGATGGTAGGAGCTCTCAACATGAAGTGATGTGCTTTTCAACTGATGACGCTTTTGCTCATGAGCTTAGAAAGTTGTTTCGTCGTGAGCTCAGTGAGTTGCTTTAACCACAACATATCATAGAGTAATGCTGTAGAGGTTCTATAACATAGAACTGAAGGTAATTTCAACATGGGTAGATGTGGATTGTGTGTTTGCTAATTAAATTGGTTCGGCTGAGCCTAGCTCACGTTCACAATCTTTTGACGTATGAGACATGTCAATCGTTAGCCATAATTCAGCTAAAAACCTGCTCTCCTATAGTGTACCAGTGAGAGTTAGTTCTGATAGCAGCACAACAGCTCAATATCCACACTTGACAAAGCTACAGATCTCATCACGAAGTAATGTCGGCTCTCTTCGTATCTGTCTACTAATTTATGTGACTGTCTAACAGCGCCCATCCAATAATTTTTATTAAATTTAATCCCGTTATATTCCAGACATTTGCAACCATTCCGCTTAATCTGGACTGGTGGACTGCGAACTGTGAATTGTCAAGCCACCTGGGTAGATAGGAAAGGGACTAGAAGTTTGGAATTGTATTTATCTACTTGGAAATACCTCAAAATAATAGTCCTGTATGATGTGATCCGATCTGTCCAGTTTTTGCATTCGAGCCAGATCTGTATTGGAATGTGTGCGTGCCAGGCCTGTTTATTATATTCAATAGACCATCGTCGAAACAGTAAGCGGTTCGATAAGCATTTTTCATTATAATTTCGCTAGTTTAAATCACAGAAGGTCTGAAACAAAACTTCCATATAGGAGTGCTACAAGAATACAAACTGTAATTCAATTGAACAACTGATGTTTTGTGAAATGGTATTCCTTATTTGAGCCGACCAATGACAGAATGACAGATAAAAATGAGTCAATACCTCTGAAAGCAGTTATTGTTGGATACGATGGAGTCGGCAAAACAAGTCTTATTTTAACCTATCTAAAAGGGCAGTTCCCTTCAGATGAAGTGTACATACCACTTGTTACTGACGCGGCCACTCTTCATCACTGTGGGCACAAGGGAAGGCAGATCAGTCTCAGCATTTGGGACACAGGAAGTGGTATTGATTATACCGAGCACAGACATCAGAGTTACAAACACGCACACCTTTGTATGCTCCTGTTTGACGTTTTATGCGATTCAGATATCAGATTCGAACTCACAGTTTCCCAGTGGTTAAAAGACATTCGTCTGTTTTCAAATGATGTTCCGATTATATTTGTTGCTACCCGAGCTGATTTGAGAGAGTGTTCAGAGCAGGTAGGGATCAAGGTCCTGACTTCAGAACAGTGCTCAGATATGGCTCTGAAACACGGAGCTGTAAAGTACATGGAGGTATCAGCCCTGAGGAACGAGGGTGTGGCAGAACTGTTTAGTGAGGTGATTAGGATTGGGTACAAGTTTAGTCGTTCCAGGAATCAGACTAGTTTTCAGAGATTGCTAAGTAGTGTGAGAAGGTAACGTTTTTAATGCTGTTTCTATTTATTTTGTTATCGTCAATGCGTGTTATTGGGTGTGGACGATGTCGTGGGTGTGTCCTGTCTCGTTAAGTGCTTCAATGAAATTTATAAATAAAGCTGTTTAGTTAATTCAATTTCCGTTCTTCTTTGAAATTGCTATGCATAGCGATCACCTACCAGACTATTTTTGAAATGTTTTGTTTCTCAGATTAATTAATATATTTGTACTAAACTAACAAGGAAACTTTTGCAGAAGATGGCAACGGGTAATGACATAGACATAAAATGTGTAGTTGTTGGAAATGATGGAGCAGGGAAAACATGTGCATTGATTACTCTTACTACTGACTTCCAATTAGACTGGGGACCTGAACTGTACGTTCCTTATGGGTTCCTTATAATGCATAATTTTAAGAAGAGGGGAGAGTTAGATAATACACCTTTATGTGTTGAATTCTGGGACACTAAAGGACTTGAAGAGTACAGTCGACTACGTCCCTTAGGCTATCCCGGTTCTCATGTGTTTCTTTTGTTTTTCGATATCACCGATAGTAGAGAGAGTTTTGAGGAAATGTTTTCCTTTTGGTGGTCAGAAATCCGACGGTTTAGCTCCGACGTTCCTATCATTCTTGTCGGATCAAAAATAGACTTGAGATACAATGGTCTTGCTACTATTTCAACTGTTGAAGGTGAGGCAATGGCTAAGAAGATTGGAGCTGCAAAATACATGGAAATATCCTCTTTACTGGATAAAGGTTTGACTGAGTTGTTCGAAGAAGTTGCCAGTATTGGTTATCATTACAAGAGGAAGAAGACAGTGAGGAAGACGAAAACTAAATGTAACGTTTTGTAATTGTATTCACTTAATAGTTGCTTATAATTGCTGACCAACCTGTCATAAGGCACCAGAAACTGGTACTGCAGAACAGGTTATATAGGTTCAATTAGGAATCCTCCCCAAATAATAAATAATGGGAATATTGCATCGTTTACATCTGTGAATTGGGATCTGATATTTGATATTTAATACAATTTTTGATATTTTATACAATTCAATAATGTTATTAGCTATAATATTATGTATAATTGTGAATTTTTTGAAACGTCATTGACATTTTTTCTAAAATTGTGAGTCATTGTATCAGAATAAACGATAACATTGAATTGTCTTCAAGAAAATTTTGTAATATTGAATAATGGATTAGCTAATTTAAAGGTCGATTAATTTTTTCCGACTCTTGGATTTGCGTTGTGTTGATAGTTTAGTAGTTTTTTTATTAATCTATCGCAATTAAAAAAATTGTTTCAGATTAGAATATGACCAAAGGAAAACAAAAACCGGTACCGGTTTTTGATTCATGTGACTGTGCTACAGACTCCTGTAGCACAGTCACATGACTCATGTAGCACAGTCACATGACTCCTGTAGCACAGTCACATGACTCCTGTAGCACAGTCACATGACTCCTGTAGCACAGTCACACGACTCCTGTAGCACAGTCACATGACTCCTGTAGCACAGTCACATGACTCCTGTAGCACAGTCACATGAATCCTGTAGCACAGTCACATGACTCCTGTAGCACAGTCACATGACTCCTGTAGCACAGTCACATACTCCTGTAGCACAGTCACATGACTCCTGTAGCACAGTCACATGACTCCTGTAGCACAGTCACATGAATCCTGTAGCACAGTCACATGACTCCTGTAGCACAGTCACATGACTCCTGTAGCACAGTCACATACTCCTGTAGCACAGTCATATGACTCCTGTAGCACAGTAACATGACTCCCGTAGCACAGTAACATGACTCCCGTAGTAGGAACCGACCGGAATGGGCTTTTGGCTGCCGGACCGGATCTTGCCGGATATCAATTTATTATCCGGTTAGCCGGATTCTGCCGGACCGGAACCGGTGTTAGGAGGGTAAAATATAAGGCAGCCGGAACTTGCCGGAAAATTTAAATTAATCCTTATTATTGGGCTTTTGTCATTATCAATTATGATATTTATCCTTATAAGCCATAGTTTGTAATTACATAATAAGTTCCGCATTTCTAAGAGCTAGCTATACGACCAGACCGATGATGTTTACTGGCCTTACTGACGAAAATATTTTTTTACGTCAGCAATATATATATGATAATTCTGTGTCTCTCCCTACTTCCCTACCCGACTAAGTGTGTCTGTTACTCTGTTTACTAGAATAGTACTGGTACTCTGTACTCAGTACTGTACTGATAAGATAGTAGGTAGTGGGAGGGAGTAGTCTAGTGATAAGGTAAACCTGGTTAGTGAAGTTTCAGTCCCGGTAGATTGAGTAGGTGACATTGTATACAGAGTAGATCTCTCTAGATGAACACATTGGAACCAATCAGGGACCAGTATTCCAATATTGAAACCAATCAGGGACCAGTATTCCAATATTGGAACCAATCATTACTGTCCGTACTTATCCTTGTTACTTATTCTGTATCAACTCTGTCTGACCCGAGTTTAGGAAACGAAATGTGCAAGAATTCTGAATACCATTCTAGCACGTGCAATTCGTGCATGATATTTACTGGTTATAACAGGTTCATTATTGAGGTTACTCTTTATTTCCCTACTTCCGATTTGACACATGTAGTAACATTTGCAGGGAATATTGTAACCTTTCACCGATTGTTAAGTGTAAAAAGAAAGTTGATTGATGCACGATTACAAACAAATCTTTCTTACATTTATTGAGCTTAACAAGGAAGCTAAGTAATTGCAGGCCTCCCCTGAGCAACACGAGCTCGGAAGCGGGAGCTCTCGATACGGGAGGTACGAAAAATTTTTCGAAGTTTTTCTGAAAACCACTTTTCTCCACGTTTCATGCTACCCTGTTAATCATAAGCCGAAAATAATTTTTTGGTTTTTCAAAATCCGCACCTATAAGTCAAAAAATATTTGATTTTTAGGGATTCGAGTTAAAATGTGACGAAAAATATGCACTGTGGGCATAAGGGAAGGCAGATCAGTCTCAGCATTTGGGACACAGGAAGTGGTATTGATTATACCGAGCACAGACATCAGAGTTACAGAGACGCACACCTTTGTATGCTCCTGTTTGACGTTTTATGCGATTCAGATATCAGATTCGAACTCACAGTTTCCCAGTGGTTAAAAGACATTCGTCTGTTTTCAAAAGATGTTCCGATTATATTTGTTGCTACCCGAGCTGATTTGAGAGAGTGTTCAGAGCAGGCAGGGATCAAGGTCCTGACTTCAGAACAGTGCTCAGATATGGCTCTGAAACACGGAGCTGTAAAGTACATGGAGGTATCAGCCCTGAGGAACGAGGGTGTGGCAGAACTGTTTAGTGAGGTGATAAGGATTGGGTACAAGTTTAGTCGTTCCAGGAATCAGACTAGTTTTCAGAGATTGCTAAGTAGTGTGAGAAGGTAACGTTTTTAATGCTGTTTCTATTTATTTTGTTATCGTTAATGCGTGTTATTGGGTGTGCACGATGTCGTGGGTGTGTCCTGTCTCGCTAAGTGCTTCAATGAAATTTATAAATAAGGCTGTTCAGTTAATTCAATTTTTTTAGTTAATTCAATTTCCGTTCTTCTTTGAAATTGCTATGCATAGCGATCACCTACCAGACTAATTTTGAAATGTTTTGTTTCTCAGATTGAATAATATATTTGTACTTAACTAACAAGGAAACTTTTGCAGAAGATGGCAACGGGTAATGACATAGACATAAAATGTGTAGTTGTTGGAAATTATGAAGCAGGGAAAACATGTGCATTGATTACTCTTACTACTGACTTCCAACTAGACTGGGGACCTGAACTGTACGTTCCTACGGTTATGCATGATTTTAAGAAGAGGGGCGAATTAGATAATACACCTTTATGTGTTGAATTCTGGGACACTAAAGGACTTGAAGAGTACAGTCGACTACGTCCTTTAGCCTATCCCGATTCTCATGTGTTTCTTTTGTTTTTCGATATCACCGATAATAAAGATAGTTTTGAGGAAATGTTTTCCTTTTGGTGGTCAGAAATCAGACGGTTTAGCTCCGACGTTCCTATCATTCTTGTCGGATCAAAAATAGACTTGAGATACAATGGTCTTGTTACTATTTCAACTGTTGAAGGTGAGGCAATGGCTAAGAAGATTGGGGCTGCAAAATACATGGAAATATCCTCTTTACTGGATAAAGGTTTGACTGAGTTGTTTGAAGCAGTTGCCAGTATTGGTTATCATTACAAGAGGAAGAAGACAGCGAGGATGACGAAAACTAAATGTAACGTTTTGTAATTGTATTCACTTAATAGTTGCTTATAATTGATGACCAACCTGTGATCTGGCACCAGAAACTGGTACTGCAGAACAGGTAATATAGGTTCAATTAGGAATCCTCCCCAAATAATAAATAATGGGAATATTGCATCGTTTACATCTGTGAATTGGGATCTGATATTTGATATTTAATACAATTTTTGATATTTTATACAATTCAATAATGTTATTAGCTATAATATGTATAATTTTGAATTTTTTGAAACGTCATTGACATTTTTACTAAAATTGTGAGTCATTGTATCAGAATAAACGATAACATTGAATTGTCTTCAAGAAAATGTTGTAATATTGAATAATGGATTAGCTAATTTTAAGATCTATTGATTTTTTTCCGACTCTTGGACTTGCGTTGTGTTGATAGTTTTTTAATTTTTTTATTAATCTATCGCAATTAAAAAAATTGTTTCAAATTAAAATATTACCAAAGGAAAACAAAAACCGGTACCGGTTTTTGAGTCATGTGACTGTGCTACAGACTCCTGTAGCACAGTCACATGACTCCTGTAGCACAGTCACATGACTCCTGTAGCACAGTCACATGACTCCTGTAGCACAGTCACATGACTCCTGTAGCACAGTCACATGACTCCTGTAGCACAGTCACATGACTCCTGTAGCACAGTCACATGACTCCTGTAGCACAGTCACATGACTCCTGTAGCACAGTCACATGACTCCTGTAGCACAGTCACATGACTCCTGTAGCACAGTCACATGACTCCTGTAGCACATTCACATGACTCCTGTAGCACAGTCACATGACTCCTGTAGCACAGTCACATGACTCCTGTAGCACAGTCACATGACTCCTGTAGCACAGTCACATGACTCCTGTAGCACAGTCACATGACTCCTGTAGCACAGTCACATGACTCCTGTAGCACAGTCACATGACTCCTGTAGCACAGTCACATGACTCCTGTAGCACATTCACATGACTCCTGTAGCACATTCACATGACTCCTGTAGCACAGTCACATGACTCCTGTAGCACAGTCACATGACTCCTGTAGCACAGTCACATGACTCCTGTAGCACAGTCACATGACTCCTGTAGCACAGTCACATGACTCCTGTAGCACCGTCACATGACTCCTGTAGCACAGTCACATGACTCCTGTAGCACATTCACATGACTCCTGTAGCACAGTCACATGACTCCTGTAGCACCGTCACATGACTCCTGAAGCACAGTCACATGACTCCTGTAGCACATTCACATGACTCCTGTAGCACAGTCACATGACTCCTGTAGCACATTCACATGACTCCTGTAGCACATTCACATGACTCCTGTAGCACAGTCACATGACTCCTGTAGCACAGTCACATGACTCCTGTAGCACAGTCACATGACTCCTGTAGCACAGTCACATGACTCCTGTAGCACAGTCACATGACTCCTGTAGCACAGTCACATGACTCCTGTAGCACAGTCACATGACTCCTGTAGCACAGTCACATGACTCCTGTAGCACAGTCACATGACTCCTGTAGCACAGTCACATGACTCCTGTAGCACAGTCACATGACTCCTGTAGCACAGTCATATGACTCCTGTAGCACAGTCACATGACTCCTGTAGGTGTCAAGCCACCTAAAAACGCTCATACGACTGATCTATGATTGATGGAAACGTTTCACCTAAACAACTTATCTAGTGTAAACCCCAAACTTCGTGTCGGGTTTACAGTTAACATAGAGACAGACACTTTCTGCACTACCGACATACCGTAGCATTCAATCAGATGGAACCTGATTTTATCTCTAATAGATACGTCCGTACGGTGTGTATTCATTTTAATTACATAGTTATAAACTGTTTACTGATGAGAAGTTAGATTTTTGAACATGTTCTATATATGATTATATGGTAATATGATTATATATGATTACTTACAGATAATTTAATAACACATTAACTAGACTATGTTACCCTTTTTAGATATTATATTGGAAATTATCTATTGTTCATTTAGTCCGACTCTTAGAATTGTGATGACTAATTGGTGGTTTTTAATACCTACCAACATTTTTAACGAGATTTTTGTTCAGATAGCAGTATGGTAGTAGTACTGATAAAAACAATAACAGTTGGATATGGTAATGTTGGAAAGACTAGCCTTCTTATCACTTATACTACCGGACAGTTTCCCTCTGAGTACACTCCGACGGTATTTGATAATTATTCGCTGCTTGGTAATCTTGATGCTAGACCATACAATCTAGGACTTTGGGACACCGGTTGGGGAGAGGACTATGACAGGCTCCGTCTCCTCAGTTACCCCCAAACTGATGTGTTTATTCTTCTGTTTTCTGTTAGTGATAAAGAGGATAGGTTTGAGCAGATTCATTCCTATTGGTTGGCCGAACTGAATTATCGTTGTCCTGATGTCCCAATAGTTTTAGTTGGTTCTAAAATCGATTTAAGAAACAAAAAGGGAATTCAAACTGTTACAACTGAAGAAGGTCAGGCTATGGCAGAAAAGATTGGGGCTGCAAAATACATGGAAATATCATCATTGGCGAATCGGGGTGTTGGTCAATTATTTGAAGAAGTTATCAGATTAGGTTTTGATCACAGTCTTACCGAAGCAAAAAAGGAAAAGAGGACAAAGAAATGTGTCATTTTGTAGAGTTCCAATGTAACTGTAACTGCTTTAATTTTAAGAAGAGGGGAGAGTTAGATAATACACCTTTATGTGTTGATTGTTGAATTCTGGGACACTAAAGGACTTGAAGAGTACAGTCGACTACGTCCCTTAGCCTATCCCGGTTCTCATGTGTTTCTTTTGTTTTTCGATATCACCGATAATAAAGATAGTTTTGAGGAAATGTTTTCCTTTTGGTGGTCAGAAATCAGACGGTTTATCTCCGACGTTCCTATCATTCTTGTCGGATCAAAAATAGACTTGAGATACAATGGTCTTGCTACTATTTCAACTGTTGAAGGTTAGGCAATGGCTAAGAAAAGGGTGCGGCCAGGCTACAAGCTTATGGCAGCCTCACTCTTGAAACTATCGCCTTCAGGAAGGGAACTATCAAAAATCAGACCACTATCAACAAACAATTCATGGCAGACCTCATTATCCCACCTAGAGCAACAAGAGACCTAACAACACCAACCATGATGCTGGGACGGCACTTCACCGTCACAACTCCTGGAGCCGATACCACTGAATATAGAAATTCACTTCAAAACACCATTGACAACATTACCAGTGAAACAATCACCTGCTACACTGACGGGTCACTCACAGACTCAGGATGCGGGGCTGGCTATATCATCACAACTGACAACAATAACACCACCCTTGAAGAAAGATCATTCAAGCTCCCTGATTATTGCACTGTTTACCAAACAGAGCTCACCGCCATCATTGAAGCTTGCAAATATCTCTCTACCTATACCAACACACATATCATCATATGGTCTGACAGTCTCTCATCTATACAAGCTATCTCTGCGCTTTCAACGCGGAGTAGAACTACAAGAGACTGTTACGACTCTCTTAATGCACTCGGATCCAACAACACGCTAGAGATACGATGGATTGCAGCACTCATCGGATTGTGGGGGAACGAAAAAGCAGATGAGCTGGCCAAGCTTGGTACAACCAGTGAATCCACTTTAAAGTGTCCAATTCCACAATCCTACATCAAGCGTCAAATCGACAACAAAGTCAACAGACTGAATCAGGAAACTTGGTTAACTGACGGTCCCAGACACACCAAACTGACACTCGGCCACAAGCATGCCATAATCATCAAAAACCTCAACACTACACTCAGCAAAAACAGACAAGATTACAGAACTGCAGTTCACCTCATCACGGGTCACTGCGGCTTAAACAAACACCTTCACACCATTTGCAAATCAAACACCAGTGCTTGTCCTATGTGCGGCGACGGAGAGGAAACTGTCTCACACTTCCTTGGACAGTGTCCAGCTATAGCCCAAATTAGAGGTCAATATTTCCAGGACTACTACCTCTCTGTCAATGACATATTCGACAACCAACACATCACCACAATTGTCAATTTCGCAAACCGCACCAAACGCTTAATTGTGCCGGAAGAGCTGGATCAGACCGGGGTGACTTAAAGTATTAGCTCATATGCTGTCTCGTCTCGTTTTACTTTTCCAAACCCAGCTGGCATTTAAGCGTATCATTTTGACTCATATATCATCTTACACCATCCTCCACCAATCACTCTGATTTCACCGGCAACCTTCCCCAAGGTTGCCACACCCCAGAGGTAGGCAGAGCATCTCAATGCTATCTTCTCGTGGGCTATCTTGGCCCAGCCTCTCTTAAAAAAAAAAAAAATGGCTAAGAAGATTGGAGCTGCAAAATACATGGAAATATCCTCTTTACTGGATAAAGGTTTGACTGAGTTGTTTGAAGCAGTTGCCAGTATTGGTTATCATTACAAGAGGAAGAAGACAGTGAGGAAGACGAAAACTAAATGTAACGTTTTGTAATTGTATTCACTTAATAGTTGCTTATAATTGATGACCAACCTGTGATCTGGCACCAGAAACTGGTACTGCAGAACAGGTAATATAGGTTCAATTAGGAATCCTCCCCAAATAATAAATAATGGGAATATTGCATCGTTTACATCTGTGAATTGGGATCTGATATTTGATATTTAATACAATTTTTGATATTTTATACAATTCAATAATGTTATTAGCTATAATATGTATAATTTTGAGTTTTTTGAAACGTCATTGACATTTTTGCTGTTGGGTACTATGGAGTGGGAAAAACCTGCATGTTTATTAGATTTGCCAGAGGGGAATTCCCTCCTGAATATGTTCCTACAGTATTTGACAATTACTCGGTAGATGGTGAAGTTAACGGACAGTCCTATGAGTTGGGATATTGGGACACTGGAGGAGGAGGGGAAGATTATGAGTTATGACCGGTTTCGTCCCCTTAGCTATCCAGAGACCGATGTCGTGGGTGTGTCCTGTCTTGCTAAGTGCTACAATGAAATTTATAAATAAAGCTGTTTAGTTAATTCAGTTTTTTTAGTTAATTCAATTTCCGTTCTTCTTTGAAATTGCTATGCATAGCGATCAACTACCAGACTAATTTTGAAATGTTTTGTTTCTCAGATTAATTAATATATTTGTACTTAACTAACAAGGAAACTTTTGCAGAAGATGGCAACGGGTAATGACATAGACATAAAATGTGTAGTTGTTGGAAATTATGAAGCAGGGAAAACATGTGCATTGATTACTCTTACTACTGACTTCCAACTAGACTGGGGACCTGAACTGTACGTTCCTACGGTTATGCATGATTTTAAGAAGAGGGGCGAATTAGATAATACACCTTTATGTGTTGAATTCTGGGACACTAAAGGACTTGAAGAGTACAGTCGACTACGTCCCTTAGCCTATCCCGGTTCTCATGTGTTTCTTTTGTTTTTCGATATCACCGATAATAAAGATAGTTTTGAGGAAATGTTTTCCTTTTGGTGGTCAGAAATCAGACGGTTTAGCTCCGACGTTCCTATCATTCTTGTCGGATCAAAAATAGACTTGAGATACAATGGTCTTGCTACTATTTCAACTGTTGAAGGCGAGGCAATGGCTAAGAAGATTGGGGCTGCACAATACATGGAAATATCCTCTTTACTGGATAAAGGTTTGACTGAGTTGTTTGAAGAAGTTGCCAGTATTGGTTATCATTACAAGAGGAAGAAGACAGTGAGGAAGACGAAAACTAAATGTAACGTTTTGTAATTGTATTCACTTAATAGTTGCTTATAATTGATGACCAACCTGTGATCTGGCACCAGAAACTGGTACTGCAGAACAGGTAATATAGGTTCAATTAGGAATCCTCCCCAAATAATAAATAATGGGAATATTGCATCGTTTACATCTGTGAATTGGGATCTGATATTTGATATTTAATACAATTTTTGATATTTTATACAATTCAATAATGTTATTAGCTATAATATGTATAATTTTGAATTTTTTGAAACGTCATTGACATTTTTCTATAATTGTGAGTAGCACAGTCACATGACTCCTGTAGCACATTCACATGACTCCTGTAGCACATTCACATGACTCCTGTAGCACATTCACATGACTCCTGTAGCACATTCACATGACTCCTGTAGCACAGTCACATGACTCCTGTAGCACATTCACATGACTCCTGTAGCACAGTCACATGACTCCTGTAGCACAGTCACATGACTCCTGTAGCACAGTCACATGACTCCTGTAGCACAGTCACATGACTCCTGTAGCACAGTCACATGACTCCTGTAGCACAGTCATATGACTCCTGTAGCACAGTCACATGACTCCTGTAGCACAGTCACATGACTCCTGTAGCACAGTCACATGACTCCTGTAGCACAGTCACATGACTCCTGTAGGTGTCAAGCCACCTAAAAACGCTCATACGACTGATCTATGATTGATGGAAACGTTTTAAATTGTTTCCACGAAGTTTGGGGTTTACACTAGATAAGTTGTTTAGGTTAAAACCTAAACAACTTATCTAGTGTAAACCCCAAACTTCATGGATTTACAGTTAACATAGAGACAGACACTTTCTGCACTACCGACCTATCGTATCATTCTATAAGATGGAACCTGATTCTATCTCTAATACATACGTCCGTACGGTGTGTATTCATTTTAATTACATAGTTATAAACTGTTTACTGATGAGAAGTTAGATTTTTGAACACGTTCTATATATAATTATATGGTAATATGATTATATATGATTACTTACAGATAATTTAATAACACATTAACAAGACTAAGTTACCCATTTTAGATATTATATTGGAAATTATCTACTGTTCATTTAGTCCGACTCTTAGAATTGTGATGACGAATTGATGGTTTTAATACCTACCAACATTTTTAACGAGATTTTTGTTCAGATAGCAGTATGGTAGTAGTACTGATAAAAACAATAACAGTTGGATATGGTAATGTTGGAAAGACTAGCCTTCTTATCACTTATACTACCGGACAGTTTCCCTCTGAGTACACTCCGACGGTATTTGATAATTATTCACTGCTTGGTAATCTTGATGCTAGACCATACAATCTAGCACTTTGGGACACCGGTGGTGGAGAAGACTATGAAAGGCTCCGTCCCCTCAGTTACCCCCAAACTGATGTGTTCATTCTTCTGTTTTCTGCTAGTGATAATGAGGATAGGTTTGAGCAGATTCATTCCTATTGGTGGGTCGAACTGAATCATCATTGTCCAGATGTCCCAATAGTTTTAGTTGGTTCTAAAATAGATTTAAGAAACAAAGATGGAATTCAAACTGTTACAACTGAAGAAGGTCAGGCTATGGCAGAAAAGATTGGGGCTGCAAAATACATGGAAATATCATCATTGGAGAATCGGGGTGTTGGTGAATTATTTGAAGAAGTTATCAGATTAGGTTTTGATCACAGTCTTACTGAAGCAAAAAAGGAAAAAAAGACAAAGAAATGTGTCATTTTGTAGAGTTTCAATGTAACTGTAACTGCTTCAAAATAAATGTCATGATGTTGATTTTTTATATGTGGTAATACCGTAATATACCAAATATTTGGAAATTCTGTAGAAACAAATTTTTATTCTTTTGGCTCTCAGTATCAATGCTATTGTAAGATTTATTTTGTATAAACATGTTAAGTGGGATGTAATTACAGTTTAGTTTTTATCTGCTTAACTCTTCTTCTGATGAGAAGGTGAATCTATATGATGTATTAATTATAATGAGATGTATTGATATGACGTACACGATGTTTTACATATTACATTAAGTGCTTGTTCAATGTTTCATATAGTTGAGGGATGATTGTTTTGAATAAATTTCTGTTAACACTAACATATACAGTTAGTATCAGGTCGTTATCTAAAGGTCTGGAAATTTGAGAAATTTATCAAATAACAAATATCCCCTATAAAGTTAAGTTAGTTATTTATTACATTTAACACCATTGACGTTTTTTTCACATGATTGACATTCGATCAGAACTTATATAAAATGAAATTTTGCCGGACATAATTTGTCTTCAAGATTTTATGAATATGATGCCCATTTTGGACATGGAAAAGTCTATTGATCTTGATTCCCTTCTCTTCGGACTGTGCTATGTGATATTTTCCTTATTCATGAAAACGTTTAACGACATTTTTTTTGAGGAAGGCAATGGCATAAAATGGTATAAATGGAGAATTACTCAAGGGTTTTTCCATTTTATCCATATAAAAAGTCTCTTTTTTATGCCATTTTATGCCATTTTTTACCATTTTATATGGCTAAAAAATTCGGCGGTTCCGTCTTGTAATGCGATCCCGGAAGGCAGACATCACCTTTGCAGTGCGAGCTCGGAAGCGGGGGCCCTGCCTTCAGAGGTACGTAATACGTATCGAGGATGACTTGGAACGAAAATTGTCTAGAAGTAAAAAATTTTAAAAGTTTTCCTGGAAACCACTTTTCTCCTGTGTTCATATTACTCTGATCATTATGTTATGAGCCGAAAATATTTTTCGGGACCTAGCGCTCAAGACTTTTTCCTGAAAATTAATGAAATTTCTGACTAATATCCGGCCAAGCACCTTCTTAACTACTTACTATAAACGGATATCCGATCGATTTCTAAATTGTATCACTATCAGAGTGAAATTGAGTGGAATTTGAATTGCAAAATAGTCGATTTGATCTTGGCCCCTAGTAGCCTGGTATGAGTCTCATGTAATATTATATGATCAATTACAGATAATTTAATACACATTAACAAAACTGTGTTGCCCACTTTCGAAATATGGGAAATTTCAAATTATCTATTGGATTATTCAGTCCGACTCTTAGAATTGTAATGACGAATTGGTGGTTTTAATACCTACCAACATTTTTAACGAGATTTTTGTTCAGATAGCAGTATGGTAGTAGTACTGATAAAAACAATAACAGTTGGATATGGTAATGTTGGAAAGACTAGCCTTCTTATCACTTATACTACCGGACAGTTTCCCTCTGAGTACACTCCGACGGTATTTGATAATTATTCGCTGCTTGGTAATCTTGATGCTAGACCATACAATCTAGGACTTTGGGACACCGGTTGGGGAGAGGACTATGACAGGCTCCGTCTCCTCAGTTACCCCCAAACTGATGTGTTTATTCTTCTGTTTTCTGTTAGTGATAAAGAGGATAGGTTTGAGCAGATTCATTCCTATTGGTTGGCCGAACTGAATTATCGATGTCCTGATGTCCCAATAGTTTTAGTTGGTTCTAAAATCGATTTAAGAAACAAAAAGGGAATTCAAACTGTTACAACTGAAGAAGGTCAGGCTATGGCAGAAAAGATTGGGGCTGCAAAATACATGGAAATATCATCATTTGAGAATCGGGGTGTTGGTCAATTATTTGAAGAAGTTATCAGATTAGGTTTTGATCACCGTCTTACTGAAGCAAAAAAGGAAAAGAAGACAAAGAAGTGTGTCATTTTGTAGAGTTTCAATGTAGCTGTAACTGCTTCAAAGTATATATAATGATGTTGATTTTTATATGTGGTAATATACCAAATATTTGGAAATTCTGTAGGGAACATTTCATTCTTTTGCCTCTCAGTATCAAATGGTCCTTCAAATAGGTTTCGATCACAGTCTTGCTGAACTGAAAAAGAATAGGTGTGCTATTTTAGTATTTTATGATTTTGCTCCAATTCTGTAAATTTATTTTACTTTCTTGATTCAGCTAGTGACTAGCTCATATTTTCGGGTAAATTTAGGTCAATTGATTTTGACGACAACAATCACATGATTTTGAAAGCTTATGAACGAAGTCTTCATAGACGTTTTTTTAAAATATAATGATGACTCATGACTTCGTTCTCATAAAACATTTTCTTTATATTAAAAACTTTTCATTTCATCTACCTATTCATATACATGTTTTTAACTATTTATTCATTTGCAATTCTACGATTGATTATTTAAATGTACTTTTCTCTTCATCTTGTTCTCTAAAAATAGCCCGATCAATCAAATGAAAGGAATACTAAATAAGATGTAGCCTCCGTTTTGTCATCTCAATTTCTCTCTTTAAAGGTTATGTGAGGTTCGAGGCATGGACGAGAGGAAACAAAATATAGTGAGAGTGAAAACTGTTGTTGTTGGAGACAGTGGAGTTGGAAAAACCTGCATGTGTATAAAATTCACTACAGGTGAATTCCCTCCAGATTATATTCCTACAGTATCTGAAAATTACTCAGTCTACGGTGAAGTTAACGGACAGTCATATGAGTTGCGACTTTGGGATACTGTAGGAGGGGAAGATTATTACCGGAGTCGTCCTCTTAGCTATCCAGACACCGATGTTTTGATTCTCTTATTTGATGTTGCTGGTAGCCGTGATGATTTTGAGGAGATTCATTCTCACTGGTGCGGTGAACTGCAATACTCATGCTCTGATGTCCCTATAATTCTTGTTGGATCAAAAATAGACTTGAGAGACAATGGTCTCACTACAATTTCAACTGTCGAGGGTGAGGGAATGGCTAAAACGATTGGGGCTGCAAAATATATGGAGATATCTTCATTAAAGGATAAAGGTGTGACTGAGTTATTTGAAGAGGCTGTCAGCATTGGTCTCCACTACAATACCACAGTAAAAAGAAAGAAGAAAAAGAAATGTAGTATCATGTAATATTTCCCAACGTTTAGCAGTTAAATTAAATTGTGCAGAATATTGATTGTTCACTCAGGCCACTATTCAGTTATCATTGTCATCTCTTTACCAATATTTCTTGTCTGTTTATCAATATATGAATTATAAATTATTTATAAAGTGAATCTAATTTATAGGTATATTCACTATATATGTGCATAGGTGATTGATTTCTTTTATCATAACTTTAATTTCTTTCTAGCCAGGTTATGGGGGATTGGAGACCATAGATACGATGGCTGATATAATAAGATTGAAAACTGTTGCTGTAGGGTACGCAGCAGTGGGGAAAACCTGCATGTTCATTAGATTCGCCACAGGAGAATTCCCTCATGAATATGTTCCTACAGTATTTGACAATTACTCGGTAGACGGTGAAGTTAATGGACAGTCCTATGAGTTAGGACTTTGGGATACTGGGGGAGGAGAAGATTACCACCGGTTACGTCCCATTAGCTATCCAGACACCGATGTTTTTCTACTCTTATTTGATGTTGCTGGTAGCCGTGTTAATTTTGAGGCGATCTATTCTTACTGGTGGGCTGAATTGCATCACCACTGCCCTGACGTCCCAATTATTCTTGTTGGAGCAAAAACTGACTACGAAAATGGCATTGTTCCTATTTCAAATTTCGAGGGCGAGGCAATGGCTAAGAAGATTGGGGCTGCAAAATACATGGAAATATCTTCATTAAAGAATACAGGTGTGACTGAGTTATTTGAAGAGGTTGTCAGCATTGGTCTTCACTACAATACTACAGTAAAGAGAAAGAAGAAAAAGAAAAGGAAATGCATTATTTTGTAAATGAATCCTTAGCAACTTTAAGGATACAACTTTATGTATGTATATTGTACTTTATTATGTATATTATACAACATTTTTATTTTATGAGACCCGTGTTTGGTTTTTAACTTTCTGCTCTGATGACGAGAGAAAGTTTTTGAGGAGAGCCGTTCAGACATGGGCACCGTATTGTGTAAATTATTTAGTTATATTTTATAAAATATCTTTGTCCCATAGTAGCGGGGTAGTAAATACAGTGTTTCCAATTTATTTTTATTAAGGTTAATCATCAAATTCACTTTTCATACCTTCCTCGGCAAAGAAACAATTAACTATATTATCCATGTGATAATACGAGTGGAGGTGATTACTGTTGGTTGGTACCGTTATCTTCCTTCTTTCATTAGATGGTAAGCCGAGATCAATTTAAAAATATATTTTGTTACTGGTAGGGTTTATAAAAAATGTGGTTTCAAAAGTTTAAACAAGTCCAATCTGGATTCTTTTGTGTGTATGTTTCAATTAATAATTTGATAAGTTGTAGCTATGATTTATTACGTAGTGGAAAATATAAAGATTTGTGAAAATATAAAGATTTGTGAACTGTAGAAAACAGCTGCTGCTTTGTCACAAGATTTTTACCAGCCTTATTCAAATAGATAAAATTCTTGCAAATGATATTTATGACCTTTTTCTGTTAGATTTCTACTCGCTTATTTAAGATTCTTACTCATTAAAAGATGCTTTCCTTCTATCTATTTGCTAGAATTGGTAATTTGTCGTTAATAGTTTGTATATCTGTAATTTTGTTTATATATGTAATTTTGTATGATAAATTATGAATCGTTTAAAATTTCTCATCTCTTTACCAATCTCTTTCGTCCATGTCTATCAATATATATGAATTGTATATAAAGTAAATCTAATTTATAGGTATATATAGGTGATTGATTTCTTTTATCATAACTTTAATTTCTTTCTAGACAGGTTATGGGAGATTGGAGCCAATAGATACGATGGCTGATGTAATAACATTGAAAACTATTGCTGTTGGATACGGAGGAGTAGGAAAAACCTGCATGTGTATTAGATTTGCCAGAGGAGAATTCCCTCATGAACATGTTCCTACAGTATTTGATAATTACTGTGTAGATGGTGAAGTTAACGGACAGTCCTATAAGTTGGCACTCTGGGATACTGGGGGAGGAGAAGATTACCACCGGTTACGTCCTCTTAGCTATCCAGAGACCGATGTTTTTCTACTCTTATTTGATGTTGCTGGTAGCCTTGTTGATTTTGAGGAGATCCATTCTTACTGGTGGACTGAATTGCATCACCACTGCCCTGATGTCCCAATAATTCTTGTTGGAGCAAAAATAGACTTGAGAGACAATGGTCTTACTACCATTTCAACTGGCGAGGGTGAGGGAATGGCTAAGAAGATTGGGGCTGCAAAATACATGGAAATATCTTCATTAAAGAATACAGGTGTGACTGAGTTATTTGAAGAGGTTGTCAGCACTGGTATTCACTACAATACTACAGTAAAGAGAAAGAAGAAAAAGAAAAGGAAATGCATTATTTTGTAAATGAATCGTTAGCAACTTTAAGGATACAACTTTATGTATAATATACAACATTTTTATTTTATGAGACCCGTGTTTGGTTTTTAACTTTCTGCTCCGATGACGAGAGAAAGTTTTTGAGGAGAGCCGTTCAGACATGGGCACCGTAATGTGTAAATTATTTAGTTACATTTTATACAATATCTTTGTCCCATAGTAGCGGGGTAGTAAATACGGTGTTTCCAATTTATTTTTATTAAGGTTAATCATCAGATTCACTTTTCATACCTTCCTCGGCAAAGAAACAATTAACTATATTATCCATTTTCCATGTGATAATACGAGCTATAATTTATTACGTAGTGGAAAATATAAAGATTTGTGAAAATATAAAGATTTGTGAACTGTAGAAAACAGCTGCTGCTTTGTCACAAGATTTTTACCAGCCTTATTCAAATAGATAAAATTCTTTCAAATGATATTTATGACCTTTTTATGTTAGATTTCTACTCGCTTATTTAAGATTCTTACTTATTAAAGGATGCTTTCCTTCTATCTATTTGCTAGAATTTGTAATTTGTTGTTAATAATTTGTTTATCTGTAATTTTGTTTATATGTTATATTGTATGATAAATTATGAATCGTTTAAAAGTGGTCATCTTTTTACCAATCTCTTTCGTCAATGTTTATCAATATATGAATTGTACATAAAGTAAATCTAATTTATATTTATATATGTATATTATGCGATTGATTTCTTTTATCATAACTTTAATTTCTTTCTGGACAGGTAATGGGAGATTGGAGACAATAGATACGATGGCTGATGTAATAACATTGAAAACTATTGCTGTTGGGTACGGAGGAGTAGGAAAAACCTGCATGTGTATTAGATTTTCCAGAGGAGAATTTCCTCCTGAATATGTTCCTACAGTATTTGACAATTACTGTGTAGATGGTGAAGTTAACGGACAGTCCTATAAGTTGGCACTTTGGGAACCTGGAGGGGGAGAAGATTACTACCGGTTACGTCCCCTTAGCTATCCAGACACCGATGTTTTTCTACTCTTATTTGATGTTGCTGGTAGTCGTGTTAATTTTGAGGAGATCCATTCTTACTGGTGGGCTGAATTACATCACCACTGCCCTGATGTCCCAATTGTTCTTGTTGGATCAAAAATAGACTTGAGAGACAAATATGGTGTTACTACCATTTCAACTGTCGAGGGTGAGGCAATGGCTAAGAAGATTGGGGCTGCAAAATACATGGAAATATCTTCATTAAAGAATAGAGGTGTGACTGAGTTATTTGAAGAGGTTGTCAGCATTGGTATTCACTACAATACTACAGTAAAGAGAAAGAAGAAAAAGAAAAGGAAATGTACCATTTGATAAATGAAACGTCGACATAAAGGATACAAATTTATGTAAATTATACAAAATTCAATAATTTGTATTTTCGTTAAGATTAATGATCAAATTCACTTTTTATACTTTTCGTGGCAAAAGAAAAAATTAACTATTATATTATCCATTATCCATGTGATAATACGAGTGGAGGTGATCACTGTCGATTGGTACCGTTGTCTTCCTTTTTTCATTAGATGGTTAGCCGAGATGAATTTAAAAAGATATTTTGTTACTGGTAGGGTTTATAAAAAATGAGGTTTTTAAAAGTTTAAACAAATCTAATTTGGGATTTTTTGTGTGTACACAAAACGTTTCAATTTATAATTTGATAAGTTGTAGCTATAATTTATTACGTAGTGGAAAGTATAAAGATATGTGAAAGTATAAAAGTTTGTGAACTGTATAAAACAGCTGCTGGTTGGTCACAAGATTTTTACCAGCCTTATTTGAATAGATGAAATTCTTTCAAATGATATTTAAGACCTTTTTCTGTTAGATTTCTACTTGCTCATTCAAGATTTTTACTTATTAAAGGATGCTTTCCTTCTATCTATTTGCTAGAATTTGTAATTTGTTGTTAATAATTTGTTTATCTGTAATTTTGTTTATATGTTATATAATTGTATGATAAATTATGAATCGTTTAAAATTGGTCATCTCTTTACCAATTTATATCGTCAATATTTATCAATATATGAATTGTATATGAAGTGAATCTAATTTATATTTATATATGTATATTAGGTGATCAATTCCTTTTACCATAACTTTAATTTCTTTCTAGACAGCTTATGGGAGATTGGAGACAATAGATACGATGGCTGATATAATAAGATTGAAAACTGTTGCTGTAGGGTACGGAGCAGTAGGGAAAACCTGCATGTTCATTAGATTCGCCACAGGAGAATTCCCTCATGAATATGTTCCTACAGTATTTGACAATTACTCGGTAGACGGTGAAGTTAACGGACAGTCCTATGAGTTAGGACTCTGGGATACTGGAGGAGGAGAAGATTACCACCGGCTACGTCCCCTTAGCTATCCAGAGACCGATGTTTTTCTACTCTTATTTGATGTTTCTGGTAGCCGCGTTGATTTTGAGGAGATCTATTCTTACTGGTGGGCTGAATTGCATCACCACTGCCCTGATGTCCCAATTATTCTTGTTGGAGCAAAAACTGACCACGAAAATGGCATTGTTCCTATTTCAAATTTCGAGGGCGAGGCAATGGCTAAGAAGATTGGGGCTGCAAAATATATGGAGATATCTTCATTAAAGAATAGAGGTGTGACTGAGTTATTTGAAGAGGTTGTCAGCATTGGTATTCACTACAATACTACAGTAAAGAGAAAGAAGAAAAAGAAAAGGAAATGTAACATTTTGTAAATGAAACGTCAACAAAAAGGATGAAACTTTATTTAAATTATACAAAATTTATTAATTTGCATTTTTGTTAAGATTGATTAGATGATCAAATTGACTTTTCATATTAATTTCCTCGGCGAAAAAAACAATCAACTATATTGACTCCATGTAGAATGTAGATGGTTAGACGAGATGAATTTATAAGGATACTTTGTTACTGTCATTGTTAGGGTTTATAAAAAATGAGGTTTTAAAAAGTTTAAACAAGTCTAATTTGGGATTTTTTGTGTGTATGTTTCAATTTATAATTTGATAAGTTGTAGCTATAATTTATTACGTAGTGGAAAGTATAGTATATATATATGAGTTTTAATACTTTCAACACTACTATATAACAAATAATTTGAGATTATGTGACTGATTAAATGCTGAAGATAAAAGAAATATATTCATTTTGCTAAGATTATGTTTGCGTTTCATTGCTCAACAGCTGTTCGAAGGATCAAATTTAAGATGGAAAGTATAAAGATATGTGAAAATGTAAGAGTTTGTGAACTGTAAAAAAGAATAGCTGCTGGTTGGTCACAAGATTTTTACCAGCCTCATTTGAATAGATGAAATTCTTTCAAATGATTTTTATGACCTTTTTCTGTTAGATTTGCACTGGCTTATTTGCGATTTTTATTTATTAAAGGACGCATATACATTTTGCATGACCAACTGTTTGAGTTTGCTTATCTCTTTAATCTTTATCTCTTTTTTTGAGGACGTCCGAATTATTCGTAATATAAACATTAAAATGTGTTCTTATTCATTAAAATGTGTTTGTAATCATTAAAATATGGTGTTGTCTGTGTCAATGTTAAACATTAAATCATAAATATACATTGAGAAATCTAAGTTTGACCCATATCTATAATCTCTGAAATTTGTGTGCAATTCTAACAACAATAACGCGAGTTATCGAAGGATTGCGCTGCGTGTGGGCAGTTACTTCTGGGCCACCCTGTAGTTAGATGGTACCCTCATTGCAAGACCAGCCAATATGTAATGAAGTTGAACGACTTTGAACCACCATTAACTATAATTACCTAACAGTTCGAGATGTCAAAGAACCGCAATGTAGCATCTCTAAAAGCAGTTGTCATTGGGAAGCACCAAGTTGGGAAGACAAGCATGATAACAACATACCTCACAGGAGATTTCCCACAAGAGCCCCCTCCGCAAGCAACTGAACACAATCACTTTTGTGAAGTTGAGGGACAAGAGTTGTCCCTGTTGATATGTGACTCTGTGAGGAGCGAGAAGGACCAAAGGATTCGCCCCCTCACTTATCCGAGCACAGGTGTGTTTATCCTGTTATTTGACGTCTCTTTCAGTGAGGAGGAGTTTAGGGATTTACTACCGAAATGGTGGGTTGAGCTGAAATTTTACTGTCCGACTGTTCCTGTCATATTAGTTGCTAGTAAGGTAGATTTGAGAAAGAATCAGGATATCGAGACTATATCTACTGAGCAGGGGAATACTATGGCTGAACAAATTGGAGCTGTTAAGTATTTGGAGGTGTCGTGTTTCAATAAACTGGGCGTGAGACAGGTCTTTGATGAAGCTATCAGGGTGGGTTTATCATATCAGTCTAACAATAATGAAAATAATAAGAGGGTGTGCGTACTCTTGTGATGGGTTTATCATATCAGTCTAACAATAATGAAAATAATAAGAGGGTGTGCGTACTCTTGTGATGGGTTTATCATATCAGTCTAACAATAATGAAAATAATAAGAGGGTGTGCGTACTCTTGTGATGGGTTTATCATATCAGTCTAACAATAATGAAAATAATAAGAGGGTGTGCGTACTCTTGTGACCATTATTTCAGAGTACTGTTTACTGATCCAGTAAACAGATATTTATTTAGATATTTATTTGGTTTTTAATTTAACGTTTTCAAGAATGAGTATTTCGGCAGGGGTGTAGGAAGAGGGAGGGCAGGGCCAACATTTTTGGCCTCATTTGGCATATCCTGTCTAACTGCAGTCTAACTGCACGATAGTTGCCGATTTATAAAATTCAGATAACATAACTGGATACACTTACTCTTCTGTGCCGTGTTCAGTATTATCAACTTATCAAGTAAATTAGCAGGACACAGTTTGCCCCTTGTAGTCCAACTTTACATTCCTCATCGCTAGAATTCATTCCTTAAAACAAATTTTCCAAAAATTGTTCCAGGTTCTCCCTCCTTACATGTTGCACACTTCTTGAGAGTGATATTACTGAAAGCAAATTTTTTTAAATTTGCAGGACTGTTCCTTCGACCCTTAAATTGGCACAGCAAAATCTTGCTGGATTTGTCATTTCACATTGCTAGATTTCAATTCTGGAAGCAAATTTCCTGAAATTGCTTTCGAGAGAATACAATATGCATCCCTTTTTCGAACTATACTTATTTCGCAAGAGCTGCTTGCAGGCCCTTATATGCATTTAAAGTCATATTATTTTAATCGTTATTGAAACTGTTTTTGAAAATGATCTCGATTGCCAAATTGCTCAGCTAGGCCTTTTACACGTTTTGCTGTTTTTTTAATTCAGGCTGTGCGGTCAAAGCCCGAGCTAAATTAGAAAAACTCCAAGATTTTGGCCCCCTCATGAAGAAAATCATTCCTTCACCCCTGTATAACTGTATTTCGGTAACAGTCCTGCCCTAGATTATTGCAGTTATCCTCAATGTAATATATTATTATATGCGTAATCTTCATTGCCTCTTCCCATTATACAATGCAAATAGGTAAATTAAGTCAAAATTAGTGAACTTTTAACCTTCAAATAGTTAAACTTGATATCATATTATTTAAATTGACCTCTAAACTGACCCTTAAAGAACGATATCACCTTGCCAGGGAAATGTCTCTAACTTGGAACCATGCTTGATCCACTGAACCTGAATGAGGAGTACGAAGACCCTCCATCGTTCAGAATTGTAACGGTTGGAGACTCCTCGGTCGGAGTTACCTCTCTCCTTCTCACTTGTCTCTCAGGTGAGTTTATGGTTTATATTTTGTCACATTTTTGACTTATTTCAACATTTTTGGGTTCCAAAAGGGGTTTTATAGGTGTCGGTAATTTTTTATAATGGATTTGATGACTCTCAAATCTGATGATTCTTGATTTAAAAAGGAAATGTTAATAATGTGTCAGAAATGTGTCAGAAAACAAGACAGTTTCCTATCGACCTAGTGACCTAGTTGCTAATAACTGAGTCACCCAGGTAAGTTCCCCGATGATAAGGCTGTTCCGCACGTGATGAGTTACGAGACGTACAGCACGACAGACTGCAGTGGGCGCAAGGTAGCCATGACTCTGTGGGACCCGGGCTATGGGGGTGATGATAACCGGTTAAGGGGGCTGTCTTACACAATGACTGACGTGTTTTTGTTATGTTTTGATGTTTCTCAAAGATCTTCATTCGACAGAGTGGAGACTTATTGGGTTCCAGATTTGAAGCAGTTACAACCCCAAACTCCTATTATTCTTGTTGCTTTAAAAACTGATCTAAGAAGAGATGGCGGAGATAGCATTTCATTTGAGAAAGGAAAGTCCATGGCTGAAAAAGTGTG